ACGTTTTTCGAATAAGGGGGTTATACCAGATTATATGGCGATGCCGTTTACGTTTTTGCGTTGTGTTGCTGCTGTCGATGTCTACGTTGTTGGTTGGTTGCTCGTACGTAAGTGTTGCGTCGTAGTTGCTTTGTCTCAGTGCGTTGTTGTACAATTGAGACGCAGCGTCAAAAGTTGTTTTGTCGCATGATAATTTGTTGATTCGCTTGTTGATGGATGATGGAAGTTGTCGTGTGATAGCGGGTGGGTGATTGGAAAGGCGGTTGATGTATAGTGGGTCGTCGTTGGGTTTTCTGTAGGGTTTGTATGTTCCGTTAGCCAAGTCAAGTGTGACGTCAAGAAAATTTACCCGCTTCAAGTTGGCCGTGGCGGTGATTTTCAGCCCGAAATTCGAGAAAGTTTTAGTCAACTGTTTTCTGGCTTTGTCACATAATCTGCCTGATGTAGTGCGTATAACGGCGAGGCCGTCATCGCGGTACAGTCCGACGTTCTCCAGTTGCCCTTCAAGTTTATTCAAGATGAATAGACCGACGAGTTCGCAGATTTCGGCCCCATCAAAACTTCCCATCGTGACATCAAAAGCGTTTGCGGCATTCGACTTTGTCCACGTTTGGTTGTTGTTGAATAATAGTGATTGTCTGGCGTGCTTGATTATTTTGATATCCTGATCATGGCCAGAAAATTCGGACATAATTAACATTCTACTTCCGCCTAAATTTGCATATGGTGTCAAAATAAAACTTCGTGAGCTTATAGTAAAGTGTGATGTACACAGTATTAAACGCTAAAAATACACCTTTAGGTAGGTCGATTATAATTTGCCTTAATTGCTCGTTGCAGAGCAAGTTAATCTTAATATTTTGAGGCAGCATTCCAAAATTTTTTATCAGTATTCGTCCTGCATTTTCAAAACAAAGTTTTGGTCATCTATCACGTTGAATACCATATAAAACGAAAACCGTAATAGCGTAGAAATAAAATGAAAATGCAGAGCCGACATAAACCTTTACCAGCAAAATATTACCTCAGGATCTTTAATATGACACGAATCACAAGAAACAACCAGGGCAAATTGCAAAGATGCAAATATTTTCTTAAATTTTGCGAAATTTAAGAATGCGCAATATGATTTATAGTTCTGCAAACGAATAATATTTGAACAGATATGCAAATTTGCTACGGCAATCTGCATATTCGATGTCCGCAATTTCTGGCCATGGATTGCTAATTTAATATCCTGAACACTGCTGAACAAACGCTCTGAACTCTTTACGAAATGTAGACACGTAATTCGACACCTTATATCACGATGTAAATATAGAGAATAGCAACCAGACCTGCCATTAGCCTGATGATCGCTTTATAGCGTGAAACTCCGAGTAGCTAAGCTAGTCTTTCAATAAATATATATTATCGCTCTGCCAGTAATGGTATTGAGCGCTCTCCAACCATTGTCAAGTTCTGTGATCTTTTTGTTACAGTCAATTATTTGGATATATATATATATATATATATAATATATATATATATATATATATATATATATATATATATATATATACCCGTTTGCAAAAACGTTGGCCACAGATAGACAGATATATAGATAGATACTCGAAATCTAATTAGAATTGCATATGTTGTATAATATGATTGAAATCCCATGCAAATGTAATCATATGCAATTCTAATTAGACTTCGAGTATCCATCTATCTATCTATTTGCGGCCAACGTTTTTGCAAATGGGTGTAATATACTGTAAACGTTAATTTAATGGGAAATCGTTGGACATTTGTGTTGAAAATTTCTTAAATGCCACAGTTAGGCGAACAATACTGATATTAATAAAGCAAAAGACAAAAGTTAATGAAATAACCATGTTTAATGGTCACGTGATTGATTGACATGGACCACCCTAATGATATGGTAAATATCAACATACTAGAAATACATTGTATGCATGAAGCAATAAACTTATATTTCTATCAAGTTGAATTAATTAAGTCGACTCTCAAGCTATCAAATTCGACTATAATCATAATTGTGCTACGAATAGTTTTAAATACTACAATTTTTAGCGAAATTTCAATCACTTTTTAAACAAATTCACCTTTAAAAATAAATACTTTTCAAATCAAAATCATTTCAACGAAATTAACGAATAAATTCAAAGAGGTGTCATACATTTGTTGATCAATCACACATATTATACTTACAAAATACTTGTATGCTTTAAAATACAAAATCTACCCATTTACCTGTTCAAAAACGCTTTAAAAATGCTTTAAAATCGTAGATTTTTTACCATCCCTTTGAATGAAAATTTTTCTATCCAAAGGCATCTTTTACATTATATTTTAATCAATTTTACGAGTCGATTTTTCGTATATTTTTAAGACCATCCAATTAAATAAAAAATACTATTTAAAAAAGTTTTGTTTGTAAACGTTTGCTAGTTACCAGTTTTAAATCGTCTTATACTCACGCATGCGCATAACTTACAAAAACGCCCAACGTCCATGACATAATGGCGGACAACTTTCATTTCGCATTTGCATTCCCGGGCGTAATCAAAATCTCCGAGCGGAATTAGTACTCTCGCCCGGTGCTTCGCACCGGCTCGGGGATGAATATACACTCCCCTAATTGATCAATCTAGCCACGGTCCTGTTTAGACTTCTTGTGTTCGCACACTTTCGTCAATAGTTGACGTATACGTTGATTATTTTTTAAGGAACAATATATGTTCATCTACGAAGCCATTCTGGAAACCATTCTGTGTGGGATGAACGAAGTTGATTCTTTTAAAATCCGAAGAGAAGTAAAAAATCTTTCTGATGTTAGAACCAGTGGCATGACTGGATTTCAAGAAAAGTTCAAGGTTTGCAATTTTGGATGCACGCATGCTGTATCCAGCTTCGACTAAGAGTCCTTGTTTTTCGTATAGTATTTCTTTTGAGCCCTTGTGTTTCCTATAGCGTTTTTTACAGTAAACCAAAAGACCTTTAAAGCTATTGGGATACCTCTCTTATCACCTGCAGCTTAATTTAATAAATTTGTTCAGAGGTTAGGTGAGATTTCTCCAAAACTTACAAAAGAAGAATGCTCCACAGCATTGGCTAAGGGAAATCTGAAAAAGAATCGCAACAAGAATGTATACCCAGGTAAGCTTTTACAAATATTTTTTGGTCAGGTCATGTATGGTGACTTATATCTTATAGAAATAAAGTTCTCGTTGTCGACATTGTATTGTAACTTTTTTCGCAAGTTTTTTTTCTGTTTTAGCCGAAAACAACCGTGTTCCACTTCAGTATGTAGAAGGGGTAGAAGATTCAGATTACATCAACGCAGTGTTTGTCAATGTACGTACTGGTTATCTTATATAGCTATATAGTACTATACTAAAGTAGTTCCATAACTAGCTATATTTAACAATTATTCGCCGAAGGTGAGGTGATTACTAGCTTATAAAAAAAGCTTTAAATCACAGAGCCTGAGGCGACTAAAAAGCTATATGGTCACTGAACAGTGACTATCACTTCAGAAACAGTGAATTTTGACCAATAGGAATACAGGAAAAACAGTAGTCACCTTGAAATTATACATCAATTATAGAGCATGCATTGCGAATAATTTTTTCTTCTCAAAGCCAAACTAATCTCTCAAGAAGTGTTTCATACGATTTCAGGGTTACCTTGGGCGGAATTATTTCATTGCCACACAAAGTCCACTGGCAAGTACAATCAATGACTTTTGGCGAATGGTCTATTGTCATAGATCATCCACGATTGTATTGCTGAGCAACGTTAAAAATGGCACGGTAAGTATTGTGTAATTAAAGTCCCCCTCCACCACTTGACGCAGATTTGCGTTCGCGCTACTAAGATTGTAAAACAAATATTTTTATTCTTGTTCTGTTTACAAAAAGTGAAACTTTTACTTATAGAAATATAAACCTTACACCACAATTACATTTCGTACAGATATATTTCCTGGTCTGTCAGGATATTTAACACCATTTCTGTCCGCTAAATGACTACGAAATAGGGTAGTTATGTTTGGATAGATTAAGAACACGCGAAATTTAGACAAGTTTTTAGACATGCATGCCTGGAAGTCCCAGTGAACTCTAATAAGACTGGAACGATAACTCAACAATAAAGACTAGTCATTGGATGAAGCCGATTTGAATATAATTTGCTGATTAAGGCGGCAGCCGAGCGAGCAAATCAAGCCTTCAAAAGAACTGGGGAGAGTGAAAATTCCGTAAAAATCGTATTTTTTGGCAAAAAATTGCGATAAAAGTGCAATTTTTATTTGACCACTTCAACTTTAAACAACGAATTTACCCTTTTTGGATAGACCTAAGTAATCCGCATCATCTTACTGTAAAAACCGGCGAGGTACCAGCTTTGTACTTGAAATATTTAAAGAATTTGAACGGGCCGAAAAAAAACTTCGCCTTCAACTCGCAAAAAAAATAGGTTTGCACCTTTTCACGTTCATAAAACTTGTTTTTTAGTAAAATCTAAGTGTCAATGCTTGTTTTAAGCTTTTATTCATGATCAGATGAGAAGGATTTGTGTATAAAAACCGGCGTTGTTTTGGTGCTGTAATTTCAACTCTTGGCCTTCATGGCGGCCATCAGTGCTGGCTTCAAAGATGGCGGCCAAGTTATCGTTCCAGTTTTATTAGAGTTCACTGGGAAGTCCTTCGATGTTATGAGCCTGCAAGCGTGCAGTTTTTGGACTCGATCTCGCTGTTAAAGTAAGTCCAGGGGCGGATCTAGGAATTTTTTTACGTCTCACAAAATTTTCGAAGGTCAATACTATACGTGTCCGATGGAGTAAGAAGAATATGGTTTTTTTATAACATCATTTTATCGTACAAAACTAAATTAACTTCAGCTTATCGTCTGAATGAATAAATTATACTTAGACTTTTCACTCTAAAGAACATCCCTAAGTATTTTTGGTAATTTCAGTCATATCCGAAATTTTGGCCCGAAGCCATGGAAAAGTCGGCACAATACGGCAGCTTGGCAGTCCAGTTGGACTCAGAAACTGAAGACGATGGTATCTGGGCGAGAAAATTTATCTTGTCATCTTATCCGGTAAGTTCAGTAGCTATAAATAAATATAAACTCAGCTTTTCTCACTATTTCAACAAATGTCGTAAAAATTATGGAACAACGACAGCTAAAAATATTCATCGCTGATATAGTGGCGCATTACACCGCGAAAAAAGAACAAACATTTATTACTTTTGGGTCTCGAAAAAAGAGAAAATACAACAGGCCAAATTAAAAGATATATTGAATTGAACTATACCCAAAGCATGTGTATCGATTTCTCTTTAATCGATTTTACCAGACTGAGGCAAGGTACAAGAACGTTTTGTTTACAACTATTAAGTAATGATTTTGTAAATTTAGGACTTATCAGATAGACGTGTTGTGAATATTTTCCACTACACGAAATGGCCAGTGCGAAGAGTGCCATCGAAAGCAGATGGCGTCATCTCCCTGATGTCATTGGTCGAGCAGTCTAGAAAGAATCATGGTCAGGGACCAGTTATTGTGGCATGCAGGTAACACTAAAAAACAAACAATAAAATTGTTGATGAATTTGTTGTAAACCTTTATATAGACTATAGTGAAGACGTGTAAATTATTTTCTCGGATACTCACGTCCGGTGAAAGTATTGCGCCCATATAGCGATGGAATTCGTTCCCAGGGCATTTTGCGGCAAGACGTTCGGCAAAAATAGCCCTGGAAAACAGCTGGGCATTTTGTACGGAGCATGCGCGAACTTGGCATCCACGCACACGAAACGCCTTCGTAGTTTTCGGAAAGACCTCGTATATTTAAATTTAAATAATGGCGGCTGATAGGAGTGAAGATAGTTGAATATCTTTTGCAGTAAAAGAAAGAATTCGGCACTTTACGAAAAGAAGAATATCATGTACGTGTAACTGCTGGTTTTGTTGTATCTTGTGGTACAAAACATGGCATTTAGAAAGCATCTGAATGATCTAAATTAGCAAACAATATGTTGGTTTGTCACACTCACAACTTTGTTTGTCACTTTCGTGTGGAAATTAAGAATTTCAGTCACAATGTGGTCGTCGTTGGTTAGTTAGCAGTTAAGGAAGCATTTATTGCAGGAAGCTTTCAGTCATTTGTCAGCTTTCAGCTGGACATTAACTTAAAAAAGCCACCAGAATCTTCACAGTTGGACTATGGCATGAGAGTATTGAAACCAAAATAGTTATGTTCATTTTATCAGATGTTGATCTTTCCATATTAATCAATTTATAAAATATATACAACTGTGCTATGCAAACAATCTCGACTCCTCTACATCATTTATTTAATAATTTTTATAAAAAAAAAGTGAAATATGGACAGCTATAGCAACAGTCTCAGGCCAAATTGAGCTCAAACATATATATTTCCACCTCCCTTAGGAAAATGAAAGGTTCTAAAGATTCCCCATTATTGTATTTTGATGCAAGCAATGTTATACTAAATTTTTGCTCAAATAATTTTATTATACTCTAGTTAAATGATCAGAAATAGGAAGTAACATATCCCACAGGCTAATTTATATGTTTGTTTACAGACAAAAATAAGTATTGTGCGCATTTTTCTCAGCATGCCCACTAACTTTTTTATAAAGTTTGAACAATATGGATAGTTTTAAGTCATGTTTCGGAGAGAGGCACTGGTAAAAATTTTAAAATATTTTTATATATGTGCCACAGCATCACATAATTTCACAAAGCAAGCATGGCCATATTAAAGTTTGCGGTTAGATTCTTAAAACTTACCAAATCAACAGGACTTTTCATAATTCATAACAACCAATACTTGGACATATTAAAATCACTTTTGCAGCAATTTTTACATCATAACAAACTCATGCAGAAGGAAGTTCGTAAGTATGTTACAATATGGCATTTTCAGAGTATAAGTGGTTTGTGAAATTACAACATCTAGAGCATTTTTCCCATGAGTGGCTAATGTTTCAATAAAACAAAACATGATTTAACTTTCATAAAATATACTTTATAACTGAAGGCAAAGGTCAGTTTTCACGAAATCGAAAGAGGAAAAGGTGTTATTTCTATAGAAAAATGCATGTTAAGTTACTTATTATTTCGCGTGAGAAGGGACAAATAGATTAATGAACACACCAGTGGAAACAACAATATGTCAGCTTCTGTCAAGAGTAAAATAGGGTTAATTCGTTGTTTGCATACTGCTGTAACCAGGTCCTGAAACTTTGACAATGAGTGAAATACTTCAACTTGTCGCCCATTTGCAAATAAAAATCCTTCGCAAATATTTACGAGAGAATGTCGTTATACCCTTGTATGCAAGCACGGGAACGTAATCTTTGAATACACCCTTTTATTTTCATGAACAAACCAGTAAAAAAGGAGAAAAAGCTCCTCAAAATACATGTTTTTGGCGTTCGAAGAATTAAAATTCTTCTTGAAGAAATGCGCCCGCAATTTTTAGACAGCGACAACAAAATGCCCAGCTGTTGCCCTGGAATAGGCAAGATTAGACCCCATAATCCCATTGGCCAGCACAAAACGAGAATTGGAATGAGAAATTTGCTTTCCTCCAGATTTTGATGCAATATATTAAGACAATCTAATTAGTTGATGCAAGCTAGGAACTCGCTGAGAATGTCACTTTAGTTAATAATAGATTAGAAAGTTATAAAAGCTGCAATGGAATCGCTTTAAAAGCAACGTTTCACACATTCAGGCCTAATATTGTCATGGAATAATAAGAGAATCACCCTGGGTACGAGGTTGCACTGATGTCAGTCAGTCGTGATCAGTGATGTTGATGTGAATATAGTGGCGCTTGTTGAAATGCGCATGTGTCCCGACAGATTTCTTGCGATCGAGTTGATGACATTTTTATTCAACAAAAACGTGACTCCTCCCTCCCGCCAGTTTAATGCATATTCTTTGCATAAAGGAACTCGAGCACACGCACGTACCGCAGAGTTACCTTCTTTAGTCCACTTATTATTATTTTATGAAATTGTTAACCACTGATTTAATATTCTAATAAACAAGATCTGCATAAATAATACTAATACCCTCTGTAGTATTTTTCAGACACTTGCGATTTTTTCTGCGATTTTATGTGCGATTTTCTTCTTTTGATATATGATAATTCTGTAAATAATTACTAATGCTCTGATTTATGCTCTTATTTGAACATCAGTAACTAATTCACTCGTGTACATCCATCAAAACAAGAAAATCGCACATAAAATCGCAGCAAAAATTGCAAGTGTAAACGGGCCTTTATGTGTAATGTGACCAGACATCACATCATTATGCCAGTAAACATTACCGAATAATTTATCTCATAAATGAGTGATTCCGGCCATCCTGATTCTATACTTTAAATTTCTCTATTTGAATTTTAGCGACGGAACAGGTCGTACAGGGACGTATATTGCAATTTCGAACTTGTTGGAACGAATGAAAATTGAGCAAACAATGGATGTCTTCCAGACGATAAAAATAATTAGAGGAAGTCGACCGCAATTTGTTGATAATGCAGTAAGTAGTTCAGTGTTTATATAGATCACGTACATTTAGTCATCAGCTCATTCCCAGCAACAAATGCGAGATATTACTGCCGATAAAATTCAATTAGACGAGGCGTTGGATTTTCCCACGCTTAATGTTACCAATGCAAGGATAAAAAAAAAACTAGAAGGAATCCGCGATATCGTGGAATATTAATACTATTCCAAGAAAATAAAATCTCGGAAAGGGCAATTTAAGATATTGCCATTCCCTTCAAAAGAAATGAGAGCACTAACCTCTTACCCGTTGTAAGTTCAAAATAGCTAATAGACCGAACCGATGAAAATTGTAACGATCGCGATGCTTTTCTCGCGATGCGAGTCACCAATTAGGTAAGTTGAAACTGAATTTGCTTTACCGGGCACCGCGTACATGCCAAGCTAATTTTTGGGTTCGGTTCCCACCGTGGTCAAGCAAATTTTTCAGCTTACCTGGTTAGTGATTCAGAGTAGCATCATCACAATATTCATTTCATATATACACCTGAGTCTTATGCACTGTTACTATAAGACTGAACATTGAGATCCCTCGTACGTATGCCATTTTCGGGGCACAGATATACATGTATTACTGCAACATATATATCCCAAAAACTCATTTCGGAAGTTTAAAATACTTGATATAAGCGAGGACGACATGCCTTCGCTTCCTCAATAATTACCGGTCAAATCAACTTCATTGTTTTCAACTTAACGCCACTGTCGACACTTGCTTTAAAATGCCCCGTGCCTCAACAGGTTTTTTCCAGTTTTAGACAATAGTGTTAGACAATAGTTTTTGCGTAATATTTTATCTTAGTTATCTCCATTAATATTTGCTATTTTTTGCATTTTCGAATTTCTTTTTTCTTCAGGAACAATATCAGTTTTGTTACACAGCTATAATGGCGTATTTGGACTCCTTTGATGAGTATGCAAACTTCGAGAAAGAATGAACCTATTCATCACTAAGCAGAGTCACTATCTTAATCGAACTAATATAGTAACCATAACAACCTAACACGTATTCTTAGAAACTATATCAATGAGCACATAGATTAATCAAACACTGCCACAAAACAATGGTGATGTATAGTCTAAACAAGTTTGGGGACTTAATAATTAATTGAAGGGCAGATTGCAGCAAGTCTGTTGCGAGTCATACGAAAACGAGGCTAGTCAGATTTCAAATTTCGCAAATCATACAATAACAACACTTTCAAAGTTGACTAGAAAAACCTAACAACGTTTTTGAGCAACTCGCCAGAAACGCCACAAAAGGTAAGAACGAACATTTCGAGATCAGTTAAGGAAGAAATAATCTTACCCGGCCTCGCACGCTTACGTGTGACTCCTGCTCGTTTTGGAATAGGCCTTTAGTACCCTTTAGTGTGTTCCTAATTAAAAAAAAACTAAGGGTAAAAAGTTATATAGTTATACTGCACTTTGTGGACGTATATTTTCTATTTTTTATACACTTTTAAAGCTATATAGGGGTAGGGTGCTGAATACAGCTATTAAATCGTTGAAATTAGCTAAACAGTCGTTATTGTGGTGTGTGCATGAGTGTGCATGTACGACATGCAGATTTTGTACATTTTATTCAGGTCAAAACAACATGGAACACGTGAACCCCCGCTTTTCAACTCCCTTAGAATTATCTCCAAACACTAACAACAGTGAAAAAACACCATTTTAGGATAATTGCATGAACGTACTGTCAGTGCGGCTCGATTTAGCGCATGCTCGGTGACTCGAAACTGCCACTAAGCCGGCCGTCGCGGCTAATTTTTTGTACGTATGACATTACAAATGTATTTTAGTTTCAAGGCGGCTGTCAACGCAAGCCGTACGTGAGATTTCAGCGCGTACGTACGTGCAAGTGGAGACCGGCCTTATAAGTGCGGTTTTTTGAGACACATTTAATTAACATTAATCATGCGGCTAAATTCCTTAAGGCCTGCCTCTACTTGCACGTATGTCATTGCGGTCGATTTGGGCATGCTCAATGACTGGAAACTGGTCGCTAATGCCAGCCGTAGCGGTTAATTTTTTCAATGCATGACAATAAAACTGTAGTGTACTCTCAAGGCGCCTACTGATCGCAGGTTACGCGCAAGCCGTACGTGCGATTTCGTGTACGTATACGTGCAAGTGGAAGAGGCCATTACCTTCTGATTTCCGTGTCGGTTTGAGTATGGCTGACAGTACGGCTTGTTCACGACGTCGACACTTTACAAAACCAGGCTGCGCCTAAAAGATTATTCCTACTATGATTGCCGGCGTTGTTTCCACAGCAACAGCCGGTAAATTAGCCTGAAGGCCTTGAGTAAATCCCGGAACATGTTATTCTCTAAATTTACCGCGATTCTATTGCATAGATTACACAATAAAAAGTGCAATCTATTCAATTGACGTGCGGGGGGGGGGGGAGGGGGCGCCTACCCCAATGACCACTCAGATCCCGGTTGCCCGTTCTGAAATTTGAATATTCTGCTAGATAGATATTGAATATTATCAGTAATAGCGTTTAGTCCCCAAATATCCCGGACATTACCTTGAACACTCATCTTTCCCACTCAATAAAAGACTTACGCCTGTATTCAAAAAGCTCACTCACACTCATACTCATCGAGTGTGACATATAAATTTTGTTAATGCTGATCAATGAGAAAGTTTTTTCTGATTAGATGGAAATATATAAGGTAAATCACTGAAAATCAAGCCCCTGTTCGGCTGGAAATACCACCATTGAAACGTTATGAGAAGATTAAGATCTCCCACTCAATGAGTTTTAGTGTGAGTGAGCTTTTAGAATACAGGCGATAAAGTCTCACAATCACTGCCACGGTGCCACCCACATATTTGAAATATAATCATGTATAAAATTTGTTTCTTATATTTCTTTGGCAATATATCTATAAAAAGCATATAACGTATGCACAAAATATTACATTGCTATTCCTAATTTGTTCTGGCTACGTGCTTTCTACTTTGACGTACGCTCGTTCACTGCGGCCTCGATATGAACATAAAAAGCAGTATCAAATAAGGTAATACCGTAAAAAAGCAAATGGTAATGGATAATGGATTTGCCCACATATACAATGATATAAACACATGTTCAAGCGTATATCTAAAGTTAAATTAGTTGCTTAGTTGAATTATTCTTATCAAACTATTGTTACTAGTTGTGGAGTGGAGTGCCATCGTTTTTTTTGCCAGCCCTCTGCGGACTGCGCATGCAGTTTGTATACCACTGACGTGTATATGTTAGTGGATAGTTCAAAGCAGCTCGCAAAGGTCGATGGGAGGTTCTGATTGAGGTTCGAAGCGGTTTTTATAGTGGTGCATAGTAAGCGATCAAGTGTGTGTTTTTCATTGATTATTGTCCCTAGAGCAAAGAGATATTGCAAATTTCATAAGGGTACGGAATAATGTGATTTCACGGCAAACAAGTTGGTCTGAATGTCGTGTGTGTGTTTATATTTCGATGGCTGATCGCAGCTGACATGTTGCTTCCTCGAAATATGCATGCACCGTGAGTTGGCGTAAATATAATATCTGTGATTTCAACCACACGTCTCGCTCGCTTGAGGAGAACTTTGAAACATGTATTGCACAGACGTGATGGCTACGATTCACGAGAATAGCACAGATATGAATGACGATCAGGCAGACGAAGGCAACTTTGAACAACTCATGGTTAACATGCTGGATGAGCGTGACAAGCTCATGGAATCCTTGCGAGAAACACAAGAAACAGTAGCATTAACGAAAGCTAAGCTTAGCGAATCGAACAGCGAGAAGGAAGGCCTGATGCGTCGTCTAGAAATCATTTTAGCCGAGGTATTTATACTCAATGTGTATTGTATGTATCATTGTAAACAATGGCCGTACATCTATCGTTAGTTATTGCTTAGCATATTTCATTGAGTTCTCTTGTATTGACATTAGTTAAGTAAATTGTTCAAAGTCGTTTCCATGTTTCACTTGTGTATATTTAACACACAATTCCACATGAATAACTTAATCGTCATTTGCTAAACATTGCCTTCTAATCGTTCAGAGATGACTTTAATTGCAACTTCCGAATGTAGTGTTCTAATAAAATCGCTCTACATTTTGGTTTTATCTTTATGGCGTATTTAAGCGCTTGCTAAATGCGCTGTTAATCAAATACAAAACACATTAAGCAGTCGTAGACTTTATAATTATCCTGCTTCGTTTATTGTCGTGAAATGTGATTGTCTAAAATGCTTGTGTTGTTTTATGAAACGGGTGATTCTTAACATTTTGTTATTGTGTTTAGCTCAACCATGATTTCCTACTTTTAATATGATTTCCTCCCTGTTGATAGGCAGATGAACAAACTTTAGAAAGACTTGCTGGTTTAGACGGGATCAACTATGAGGGAAACTTTAAAATACGCGAAGGAAAGCGAGCGTCGCATGTCAAAGTTTTGTCAGAGGTTAGATAATGTTTTGTTTCAAATGTTCACTCAGGCACAAATATATTAATCAATACAGTGCATATCCTTCAACCGGGGTCACTTTTTTAAGAGTATTCATGTCTTCTCATTGTTTCTACGGCTAAAACAAATATTTTGAAATACGTCGGACGGAGAACAAGAAAGTATAAATCGCATAAAACTTGTGACGCACAGACATCGCAAACGCCATGCTTTCATACTCCATTTAAACAATTGCAATTATTCAACAAAGTTTCAAAACACTCTAATAAGCTGTCTTTGTGAGGTGTCGATAAATGTTTAATCTAAAATAGCATTCTTCCAACTCATTGTTGTGATTTCGATCTGTATTTTGAGCTTAATACAACATTTTCACAGTTGGAGATGGAGTTATAACTTGCCTTATTGTTTTCTTAATGTATGTTCACATATGTTTAATCTTACACCGAATGTCCATTTACGGCGATTTTCGACGTACTGAAAAATGGTTAGCAATATAAAATGTGTTAGGTTTTAATGGTTTTTCAATAAAATAGTACTGCTTGTTTAAATAAGCCATGCTGAGTTTTGGCGCAAATCATTATACAACTGTGGAATATTGTCCATCTGCATGATTGCTTGAGTCTTGCTTTGAAATACTTGAACAGCATGTGGGTTGGTATAATAATTAGTTTGCTTGATCTAGAGTCATCCCTAGCCATTTTATCAGTGATGAAATCTTTAGGACAAAGACTAATCCTGTTCTACTATGACTAAGAAAAAAATCTGACCATGATATCAACAGTTTATTAAAGCAATTCTAAAGTATTGAAGGAATTTAATAATTTTTCAAGGTATTTCCTGACAAAACATTTTGGTGTTTGTGGTCACTTATCAGATCCTAGCTCAATATAAGAGGCAGAAAAATTCCCTAAAACATGCTCATAGAATAGCATTTCGCTGATCTGTTTGTTCACTGTTTGTTATCTCCTTGCTGTAATTAATATACATTTTCTTTAGTCTGTGTGCCAATTTGTATTCAGTATTTACAAATTGTGTGTCCAATATCCAGCATTAATTAATTGCCAAAATTGGCTTGCATATTGCACAGCATATGACTTTGTGTGTTATGATTCTTTATGATCCGCTGAAATGTACAACTGAATAGAATTGATATGCTCGATAAGTAATACAACAGTACAACATCGATAGTCCTGGCTATTGAATGCCTGATAATTTTGCTTGTTTGTACTCAGGTACTGGGTTTAAGGTTCAAATTATGAAAATAATGAATAATCAGTCTGGACACATTATTCATCTGATAGGTCACAGCTCCTGAATCAAAAAGGAGCTCAATAAAATACTTAAATGTTTTAGGTGTACATTGTTTTTTTCAGTCATGTGTGTTCAAATGTTATGTATTAATTCTGTCCCTAGTTCACCAAATGTTATGTTTGTACACAATTTCAGTGACAGGACAAACTAGGCATATCTGTTTGTCTAATTAGACAAACTTCATTGGTATTTTGTCTTGGTCAATGATCCATTCCATTGCCATATTTATTTATTTATAGACAATTTGGCTGAGAAGCCTTGCTTGCATGAATGATCAGCCAATCAATTGTCAAAAGATGTATCATAACAATAGTAAGGCTCCTAGACAAAAATAACATCCATGATGTAATTATCCACAGACAGTATTACAAGGCTTCCAAATTCCCAAGGAATTGAATTTCAATAGAATTATTATTCATAAACACTTGTGGTACATCAAAACATGGATACAACTAGAAACTGTACTTGTTAAATTCTCACATTGAGCTATAGGTTGTACATATTGATTCTTAATTAACATTATCGTTTGTCAGCAAATGTGAGATGTTGAAATTGTAGCAGCATAATTATGTACATAATAATACAAGATTCACCGCTTTCCACAGTATGTTTACTTCTGGCTTTCCACAGTATGTTTAAATACGTAAAATATCTGAATAGCCTGAATACAATAATATATTTGATTGTTAGAAAGCAATTTTTGCTGTATTTCTGATTGACTTGCTTAAAGGCTAAATTGTAGGAAATTATGTATCATTTATAGTTTCGTTGGGCATTGTATCTTCAATTATTTATCAAATTTTAACTGCAATATCTGCATGCATCCAAGTGATACCAAGGTGCTTTTTTTAGCCCTAAAAACATGATGTTTTTATTTTATGGAGGCAAAACAATTTGGCCCCATGTAGTTGACAAAATAACAATAAAAAAATTGCCTGTACTTTAATTTGATTATGAGAGCTATTTGTCATAGATGACAATATCATCTAGTTTTACATGAAATAAATTGTAAAACTTGGGTAGGAATCATCATACTGTACATTATTGACTCAACTGTCAAAGAAGGTTAATGTTAACAGGAACATCTGATAAATTTTTAAACATCTGGCATTCAACACAGTACATCTCTGTAATTTAGTGCATGAACAACATTACAGTATTGCTCAAAGCCAAGTGATATTTTGTATAATCAGATACTTGTCAAGATTTAAGTAAAAAAGGCTCAAATATTAACTGTGGCTTTAAATAAAGAACAATCTGGAGCTCATTAATTTGAAACATGAAAAAACCTAATTTTCTAGATAGATTTATGACAAGTCTAATACATTACAGTACATAAAGGTCAGATTAGATAGTATTAATAGTTTCATATCTTATTAGTTAAGTATTACTCCAATAAAAATTGCTTCCAAAATGACCAAAGGTCACCAAGACCATGAGTGAAGACACCATTGTATTTACACACCTGTTGGACCGTGCATGTCACCTTGCAAATTGTAATCTCTTGTTTTATCATCATGTCATCTTTAAATATGACTGTATTCTGCGAAAATGCTCTGCAGGTATGCATGACTAAAAAGAAACCTGATCAGGGCAGTCCAATTTTTTAAAATAAACATACGCAAATAACCAGTGTAGAACGATCATTTTATTCTCAAGTATGTTATTTGTTTTGGTACGTACAGTACGGGCACGCGATATTTCAAGTGAAAAGTACTCATTTTTAATATTCAGCAACTAACTTTGCAATCGCTCAAAAAACATTGGAGAAAAAAATTCTCTCATCTATAGCTTTTCGTGCGAATTATTACTGAATTGTCTTTTACTGAAGACCAGTAGTGTTCCAACCTCTCCCGAATATAAGTCCTGCAATTCGGATTTCGAAAAAGTTTTATGAAAGATCTAATAGCGGCGGTGATATGAAAATTACTGTACGTGCAAGAAATCGAAAAGTTTATGGCAGTTGTACATATTTAGCCAACCCGTAAATTATGAACATTTTTGGCACCATATCATGGTTCGTGGCTACTTCAGGCGAGAGAGCTGGAGGGGGGAGGTACTCTTCTGCAATTCTTTCTGAATAGTATGATGCAACTTGAGCAATAGGTGACTTGGGTATAGACATGACACGCTAAATACACAGCTCCAAATCACACGGTAAACAATAAACTCTCTTCGAGCATCGTGTCTCTCGAGCATAGAGTGGTTAAAGTCCTTAAGTTTTTATAACAGTAATGGCGAACAATAAAATTCTTTAACAAACGAATGAAATGAGTAAACTCAAGATTTAAGTTATATTAAACGTAACTAAAAACCCCGCAAATTGTTGTCTTGTTTATCGATTAGCTAACTCATAGCTTGTGTTTACTGTACAAGATGTGGTTTGTCGGAGTTTCTTGTCTTTGTCTATTGTCTTTTTTAGTTTTGCCAAAGGGGTCAATTTTCAAATCTCGTCTATAATATGTTTGGAGTACATTCAATGGAAAGGGCAATATCGACTTTTTATGACCTCAATAGCTTGCATGGTCCTTGTTGAAAACACCGCGTCTCTCTATTGAAACAAAGTAGCAATTTACCTTTTTCTCAAAGAGTTCTTTGTTTTTTATGTTTTGTGCCACTTTACATTTTTTAAGTGCCTAATATCACGTATATGGTATCTATGTGGATTTAAAAAGAGCGCATGCAATAACTTGTCAGCAAAGACGTTCTTATAAACATTTTTCATTCATTTAAATCAAGATCTTTTCAGAAATCAGCCTTATTCGAACATGACCTCGAAATCATAATTTCAGAAAGAAATAACGATGTATTCTGGGAAGAGCGTTTTATTTTACCAGTGCTGATATTTCTCAATATTTTCTGATGATATATGTCCTGATACGCAATATCTCTTGCTGTATGGACCAGTAAAATTACTGTACGACAACTGACCGGCAATCAAATTGAAATTTGCATGATTCCCTCTCGTAATTGCATGGTAGTCAAAACTGAACTTGAAATATTTACATGAGTTTTAGAGAATCGTATTTCTTGTTCCATGCAGTTCCTTAAAGATTTCGTAATTTTTTTTAGAAATGCCAAAATTGTCATGTTTCAACATATGTTTTAGACGATGTCGACTTCTATCTAAAATCGAAATGCTCTTTAAAACCCTAAAACTCTCACGATATAGAGTGATATTGAATGATATATGGCCACTTCAGTATACATGCATTAACATCGACTTTTTGCTGTGAATTTACGAATGATAATTTCTATTTGAATCATGCATGACATTTTAATTCTGACCTGCATATATAAGCTGGAGTCTTTAAGAATTGTAAATATAAACCATTTACAAATTGTATACCTTTAATAAACCTTTTTTAGCTAAATACATCTACCGTGATGTCTGCGTGTAAAAGCTGCTTACCTATTTTTTATATGCACGTACACGTACGGAAAATTTTAAATCCTTTAATTTCAAATTTTTATTATTTAACATCTAGGTCACTCTTCGACGTATTCACTTAGTTTTTCCAAAGCTAACATGTATAAGATTTTTACGTGCGTGTACGTGCGTATGAAAAACGCGTAAGTGGAACACAGCCTTAAACGAGTTAACGAATAAACAATTAGTATTTTTCACATACCGAGCCAGCAGCATTGAATGCCAGGATTCCACGCTAATTCTTACCTTTCCCGAGAGACGCATTCACGCGATTCCCCTTAGTTGAAAGCTTAAAGTAGTCAGCAAATAGCTTGTTAGTATGACACTGTATATTGTGAGTATGACACTGTATGTTGTGAGTATGACACTGTATATGTTGTTAGTATGACACTATGAATTTCTACCGCATGGTATAGGCATAGATCATATACACACATTGTTCTCAATCAGTCATCTTCAAGGTATAGCAACGAATCACTGGATTTAAATATGCTGTTACTCTCTAACTTGCGCTTTATTTCATCAATCAAAGTGGAAAACAACGCCGTGTGTTTAGTGTTTAGTGTAAACTGAAAGGAAGAAACGTTGGAATAATGCATAGAAACGTTCTGTAATAATTTATGTGTGGGTATATCAAGATCCCCACCAAACTATTTTAGTCCAGCTGACATATTTAGATCTGTTTACATACGGCAATTGGAGCAGTGATGAAGCGCATAGGTCTTTTTAATATAACTGATGATTTGGGGTTGTTGTTTTGTAATAATCTATTTTGCGACTTTCCTGTCCAAGCCTCCATTCTCAATTTTCACACACCTGGAAATTGATTCATTTTATTTTTTCAGATAACACTCACAGTAAGGGTTTGTTATCCTTAGCTGACACTATAAGATAGTGTTTTGACAGCACTTGTTGTTAGAATGTGGAATATTTTAACCCTTGCTGCTGATCTGATTAAATATAGCAATTAATCTTGAATCGATACTTGATATTTCTATGTCTGGGATTTTCCCACAGGCAGAATTCAAGAGGATGTTTATGTGACCCTCGTTTGTTGAGGCGCCAACTTTACTAGGAAATCTTAGTTGTAGAACTATTATCTATATGTTTACAAAGTCGAGATGAACTTTAAACTCAAAAAGTATGTAAAAATATTTTGATTTTTCTCGACAATTCATATTGCATAGCTCGGGGACACTCGGTTTTTGCCTTTTGCTTTCTAACCGACAAGCCATTTTAGTCAACCCTGGATACAAGATACGGTTCACACAGACGTTAGTAACCGTCTGGTTGATATATTTATATGCATACTAGTGCATTAAAAACAGTATTCTTACTATATAAATGCAGTATATCTCGTCTAATAAGTATACTTTAATATATCTCTCGTCAGGTATATTCACGCCTAATTAAATCACTTATAAGCTGACAGTAAAACAAACTACCATAATCAAGGCCGGGATTAAAATGTTGCGCGTCTATTTACTGCTACAAATTTTAATTTACATGCCGCTCAGACATATCACATGAACATATATTGACATTGTTAGCATACTTTTGCCGGCATTTATACGAAAGGATATGAAAACGTTGTCAACATTCATTATATGTTCTATTCATTTTAGTAATTAAAGTTTTATGAACTCTTTGGGGGTGGCATGCGATTAGCACTTATTTCTAATTTCCAGACATTATCCGTGATGTATTACGTATCGAGTTCCCATCAGTTGATTAATGAAGATGAATTAAACGTTAATCAGAAACAAAAATTCCAACAAGTTTATCTTTGTAGATATGAACCTCCCACAGAGTATTATTCAAGGTCTTTTGAACAGGTCAATGTCGTGAACATGGGAATGTTGTCTATCTTTGCCCCTAATCCGATATTCGATAATATTCGTCTTATATGATTAGTTTATGCTTATCGATCGGTGGGATCAAGTGGCAGGTTAATTTTTGACATCTTTATGTTATACTTTGGGCAAAATCACCAAAAAATCGGTAACTTTGAACAAATCACGAAATATACTTTGATTTTTGAAAGACTTGCTCAAATCTGGACACTGCACGCCACCGCCATGAGATCTCTAGCAATTATAATATAACGTGGAGAATACAAGTTTCCCCTGTCAGTTGGGGGAGTTGCCGTATATTATTGGTTGTAACCCTTGTTAACCTATAATTTTGTGGCAAAATTTGACACTGATTAAAGTTAAACTACGTTTTAAAACACCTAGGCCAGAATGATAAAATTTTTAATGCTTTAAGGTCCATTTACACTATACGCGATTTACGATGTACGATTCTTAGCCTGGCGTATGTAAATGTATAAACACGTGTACAAAACGTCGCATTTTAAAATCGGCATTTTACGAAATAAACAAGATTTTGGCGTCAGTACTCGTTTTCATTTGTCAAAATGATAATCGTATACAACTTATCCTATATGCGTTTACGTACGAATTCGTGACAATACGCCAATGTCTTCTATATAGGCTTACGAATGCACAGGTTTTTCCTGTCACAGAAATAAGAACTGTGCTGCCAACTTTTAGGAAAAAAACCCTGCTCTTGTGTTCAGCTGTCAAAAAAAAAACTTGATGGGCGTCATTAAGAAAGATTTCCATTGTTTTTGCAAGCAAATGTTTTAGATAAATGTATAAAAATAGTTTTTTTCTGATTGTGCGGCATGCTGATAAATGCTAATTATTAATATATGGACCCCTTCCCAATTAAGCTTTATAGACCTCAGTATACACTCTTGATGGAAAATTTTGGAATGGAAAATTTTGCGTGGTCCCGTCTAAGGAAATTGCCTAGGTTTAAATTTTACATAAGCAAATCCACGTTTTAAATAAGTTAAAACAATTATCTGGGTGAAACTCATTGTTATAGCTATATAGTTTAACCATATTCCCAGCAGATGATTTGAAACTTAGGATTTACTAGTCTTCCAACATGTACTTTATCGGTGTGGAAAACTGTGGATCGAACCTTGTGGAGTTATTTTCTCGAATCACCCTATTACCAATGTGCTATATAGAAACAGTATACTTTCAGTATACCATATAAAATAGTATACTTTTTATTTATTTACAATTATATAATCGTTTACAAACAATATTCCACGGTTATCACCTGTCAGTTCTGTCTCGTTTCTAATGCTGTATCACCTGTTTTTTATAGGAATTTTGTGCAATGGTGAAAGAACTTAATTATGCCAGGGAGCAACTGCTTGAGAAAGATGAAGAGATTATTGAGCTCAAGTCTGAAAGAAATAATATTAAAGTAAGACCATTTTTCTCCTGTGAAGGTTTTTCTCCTGTGAAGGAAATAGCCTCCGTTGAATCAAATGAGCATGATTAAGGCCCAGTTCATACACGCATTTAGGCCGCGTCGAATACAATTCAAACAATATATAGTGAGATGATAAACACCATTGAGCCTCGTTACCATCTTATGTATTGTTTTACTGCATTCGGCACGACCAAATTGCGACGTATGAAAACGAACTTGGCCTAAGGACGAGGATTGCGCGGGGCTTTCGGAAAGCGGGAAAATACACGAGCAGTTGGCGACGCTTGCCGAAAGTCAAGCAATATCCAAAATACATGGGTCATGCCATCCTACACGATAGAATCGTTTCTTGATTGTTTTAAATAGTTATGAAAGTGAAAGAACGGCTATAAGCCTATTTAAAACCCCACGCGCGAAGGCATTTAAATTCCTCCGTAATGATTGTCTCATCCTGCATGACAGCTTTAACCAATCAACAGATTGCGTGTTTTGCTGTATAGTTATAAAATTTCCCTTTCATCAGCATATCTACCGTGCGTATAAATGCACGCGTTTAACAAATTACAGGCATAACGCTATTCATTCCGATTTGTAAAAGCTACTACCTGTTCTTTAACACAGTCCACGCTTGTCAACAACATTGAACAGCGATAATAATGGAAAATGAAACCGGTGTAACAATCTCCAATCTAATTATAAAGACTTTTTTGTGACTGATAATTAACTGTCTTCTGTGTCTGATATGAAAACTGTCTAAATAGCATCTTATTATATATTTTTATATATCTTCGAACAAACAATGCATTCTAATATGGTTTGAGCCCCTCAATCCCCCCCCCGTGCAAAACCACACTATACAGATGTACGAAAATGTGTATGGGTACGTGTTAATTAGTCAAACATTAGACGTTCGAACCTCAACTTGGAGAAGCAAAACATTATAGCATTGAAAAAAGCGCACCAATGCGAAAATACGACTCTACTTTCATAGGACAAACTAGCGATATAGTTAAAACCTATTTGTATTGTAAGACAGTGTTAACTTTAAAAGTGAGGCGTAAATTTTATTCTGATCGTTTACGTTACATTACGTTTCCTTTAAGACCATACCGGAGGGTTTTCGTTTTTGTAAAATTTATTATTTCAATTATTATTATTATGCCAATTCTTTTTAAAATGGTTCTTTTTAAATCATTTCAGCATTGATAAAACTATACCCCTTAAAACTTGAAATTAAACTTGAAATGTCTAGTTTTTGCCTACTGTATAAGTTGTTAAACTTATAATGAGAATTTGCTTGTTCTGTTCATTTCAGTTATTATTGGAGCATCTTGAATGTCTCGTGTCTAGACACGAGCGCTCTTTAAGGATGACTGTCGTTAGACGTCAGGCGACAATGTCAGGCGGTGTGTCTTCTGAAGTTGAAGTTTTAAAAGCATTAAAGTCGTTATTTGAACACCACAAGGCTTTAGACGAAAAGGTAAGACTGCGAAACTTGCCCCAACTTATAGCTTTGTATGTTTGTCAGAATGAGATCTTTCATATGCATATAGCATTTCTATGGAAATAGTGTCCATTTTGTGTAACGGTTTTTACATTGCGGTTAAACTATACTTTATAGGTTCGTGAGAAGTTAAAGTCTGCCGTAGATAGAGCAAACTCATTTGAGAATGAACTGGATATGATGAGAGAACAGGTATAATTGATATATAGTCAAACTTTCAATAGACTGTTTTATCTGTGACGAACTATTTCTACGTTAGTCCTTACAATGGAGTTATGTAAAATAAGATTGACTCACTAGGGTTTAATTCCCGCAGGACTGCCAGCTATAGGTGTAAAAAAGTTTTATCTACCTTTAAATTTCACATTTAAAATCAGTACGCTAGCTATACTAGCTAACTGTTTACACAAGTCTTTGCATGGTCTGAAGAAAAGCAACCATCTCTCATACATCTCCCCATAAATTAATCAATTTCTGCGCTAGATGCACGGAGATTTATTGTAATATATACTTGAGTGTTTTATTTGGCAGGTGAAACGATTAAAAGACGAAAATTTATTATTGCGGGAGAGTAGCGGACTGGAGAAAGGAACAGAGAATAAAATACCTTTAGTGAACGGAGGGTTGCCGTATTGTAATCATATTTCACAGAGATCCGGAGGAAAGGTACTGTAAGCAATGAATGAACTTAAAAGATTCAGTTGAACAACAATTTGGCAAACAATGTTTAGCTTGATATGTAGACCTTTACGCCCTCATGTTACAATTGTGTAGTTGATTTTATCGAAGTTATTTTGGTTGTGGTTGTGCTATTTGTAGACCAATTCGGTGTGCTGAAGTAGTGAAAAAAACAGCATGCTTTCCTTACAAAGAAATACGCTCCTTAACACAGCGATTTCGCAATTCAAAGTGACTTTGATAATTAACAACTGTCGCGTAACTAACGTCACTACAGTACCAATGCGCCGCGCGCTGGAAAGTCTACGGATATTACAAGAAAATATTTTTTGTGGCTGGGAGAAGTCACGCGCGATTGCAACAACGACTTGTAACTAAATGTAAGCCGCGTTTACACTATACCGGATTCCCTTGGCACGATAACTTCGTTTACCTTTAAAAGGCAATGATTATAGTAGGAAATAGTTATTAGTTTGATATACAGCATTTGGGGTATTTTCTCGATCTCTAACAGACTACAGAATTTGACCAACCCCCGAAGCAATCCGGATACAATCGTACATAAAATAACAAGTGCAAGTTCACAACATGTTTTTTTGTTCGCAGTTGTCCAATGGACCTCTTTCGCATGATGTGGACGATGGTAACGATCTTGATGCGATCAATGAATTACAATTTAAGCTGGACAAGAAGAATAAAGAGCTAGAAAAGGTGTGAGAAATTACTACTTTTAACTATAGTCATCTAAAGCCCATGCATGCACTTCTCAAATGTGGCTGACAGTCTGCGATGTATATTATCGGTAGCCGGTGGCGAAGAAAATTTTTCGTGATCACCGATGACCAACGGCGATGATTGAGACATAAGAACTTGTCCATGGAACCAGTTTGGTTGCGAATAAGAAATTGCTTTTGGGGAAGCGAGCTTTATGAAACCCCTGTGTATTTGTATGTAAACTGGAATGCTGCATGGTTTCTGTTTCTGTCTGTCAATATTATTTTACGTTAGTCGGAATAAAAAATGTGACTTTATGGGATGAAAGTTCATGTTTATTTTGTATAGATTTTAAAAGAAAACTCATATTTGAAGGAACGAAACAGTTCACTTGACAGCAAGCTAATACTTCTAACAAGTGACTTGGATCGGTCGCAGTCGAAATCTGAGAAGTGGAAATCCCATGCTGACGAGGTTGCATAGCCATTCATATTTACTACACGACAGATTATTGAATATAGTTTGGATACATTAGATTAAATCCATACTTTTTCAAACTGATATGGATGTTTTCTCTACCATATGACAGTATAGTATGACGGATGGCACTTTTTAAGGTGCGCTGCAAGTTTCTAATACATGCTTACTTGGTTTTGTAGACTTTGGCGCAGAAATCAGATCTTGAGGATAGAGTGTCAATTTTAGAAAAGAAGTATCAACAAGTACAACGTGATTTTCTTTCGGCGAAAGATGATAACGAAAGACTCGAGAATGAGTTAAACAGTAAAGAATCCAGTGTGCTTCAGGTAAAACTTTTATTATTCTTACATAGGGGCGAAAATAACGTCTGAATTATTAAAAGCTTGGTCCGAAAATAAGCTGAACTGGTGAAGATTTTATATTTCCGTTAGTACATTAGTCATATATATGTATTTGTTTTGATATATCATTGGCTGGTATATATACCACAGCTTGAGCTATGAACTGAACAGTAGCCACACCCTTCTTGCACTTCATTCAATATATTTATTTTCCCTATCAGGGACCCGTTGTGTACGTACTGTATAAAACTGTAGTTACCTTTTAACCATTGCCAGTTAGTCCAATCAGAATCGTGTAATTTCGAGTTAACTATACTACGATTTAACTATATATTCAAAATCTAGTTAGAAAGTCTTATACAACCGGTCCAGCCTTATATTGTCCAGTTGTCACCTACGTTTTTCTGTCCTCCTACGAGTAACGGTTTACGTTGTACAGTATACGGTATGCGTTTGTGCAAACCTAACAACCCCCCCCCCCTACCAAAGAATCGGTGGACCCAGAATGGATGTCTTTCTTTTTTTAGGCGGAAGATAAGTGTCGGAATCTTCAAGAGAAACTTGAACTAGCTGAACAAAAATTGCAGCAGTCATTGAGGAAAGCTGAGGCATTGCCCGTCGTTGAAGAGGAGCTCGCTGTACATTTGGCTGCCCTAAACCAGGTAACATTTATAGCAATGCTTGCTGCCATCGTTTGCTCTCGAGACATGCCCTACACATGCATTAATTTCCTTTGGATTTATCTTAATTCGTCACAAAGTAAATAGAAATCTGTAAGATTTTTCTGGTAGTCCATATAAATTTTTGATAAAATACAGTATAATTTTTGATAAAGTACAGATAAAATGCCGTATCCTTTTATAAATCTATGCATGCATGTGATTGTCTTAAAAGGGTTTTTATTTGCGTTGCTACATATGATATCAGTGACCTTTTAACTCGTCTGATATTTAACCTTTCAAAAAAGTGACACTTTTTCCTCTTGAAACGCATATCTTTCATGAGGGGAGCCGTGCATTTTTCAAATAGAATGCCTTAAGAGGTAGAATCTTCGTGAAAGTGATAATTTTAAAATTTTAAAAATCGCGCAGGGTTAGAAAAATCAACATGCATGCAGATATATTGTATGAGAACGACAACAGCAAGCTAGAATATCATATTTAAACCCCCTGGGTTCTATGCAAAGTGTATGTCATATTTACGAAAGGCTTGTATACTCTTTTTGTAGGCAGAGGAGAAGAGTTTTTCAGCCACCGAAAGGATATCAAACCTACACCAGCAAATAGAAGATATTCAAGCGGAATTAAACAGGGTCAGTTCCTTTCGGGTCTTTTAAATTTTATACTCACATAACCTGGTAAAAAAATCGCACTAATGTACGTACGTTTTGGCAAGTATGGCCGAACAGTATTTGTGCACGTTGATAGTGTACTTTATGTTACTTAAACAAGCACTCTGTACTATTTATAGTACTTGCATGTTATTACATAGCGTGTCATTTAAATCTTGCCAACCATTTATTAAAGATGAACATGAATTGTAATCGCTTGATCGTAATGTACTTCTATATAGTCAAAACAGCGAGAGAAAATGAACGAAGAACATTCGCATCGGCTGTCAACAACTGTGGATAAGTTACTTGCGGAGTCCAACGATCGATTACAACAGCATCTAAAGGAAAGAATGACTGCTTTAGAAGAGAAGGCAAGTAGAAAACTTTGCAATCTATAATAATTTATGATTGTGTACCGCTCAGAAAAACCTAACACTGCGTTCTCGTTCCATTTGCGTTCGGAAGGCGATCCAAAATCCGTTACACAGCGTTCAGAATGCGTTCCATAGAAGAACGCGTTCTAAGAAACACGTTCTTCACCTCCATTGAAACCACGTCCTCTCATCGCACAATTCCGACATAAGCCTGGGTTATATTAATATGAGTAATAGATGGGTAATAGATTCGTGCCGGATTTAAATAGGCGTTTGGAACGCGTTTTCTGTTAGGTTTCTTTCTGAGCGGTACTGTACATCATTCCCCCACTGGGGTGAAACAGTAAAAAGTGCAGTAATGTTTTTGTGATTTTTAATTTGGGAGGAAACCGTTGTAATACTCAGTTGTGGCACTCTCGTGTGATTGCGCTTTTCGAAGCAACTAAATGACATCTTGGGCTGTACACAGCAGGAGGGGGGGGACAAGGGCGCAGTTTCCCCTTAGAATAAGTTCAACTTACAATTTTTAAAAAGTTTCCTGGTCCCCGAAACGGTCCCCATCTATGCAAAGAACATCATTTCCCCCACTCCTAGCTCAAAAATATTGATTACGGCCCTCATGACATCTTATTGTAACGTTGTATCTGTATCTTTTAGACGTTCCTTTCTCAAGAATTAGAATGTAGAAAATTAGAATTAGAAGATTTACGAAGAGAAAAGGTATATGTTTGTATATGTTTGCGTATCATTTGACTAGGTAGAGTTTCAAATTGAATAACGCGTCAAAAAATCTTCCAAATTTCTCGGGCTATGAGATAAAAACAACTTCTACGTTGAACTTCGTATACCATTGCTTTCCTTTGTATGGTTTGCGGACGATTTTTGATCCCCCAATGACATTTCGTCTGAATGATAGTAAATGTCTGCCCACGTGGGCAAGAACTATTAATCCACCTGAATTTTATTGCTTCGCATATGGCAAGCTCGTATTTGTGACGTCAGCGATGACGTGACATGGCGTCCTCTTCATTTCACGCGCGTTATTCTATTATCATTTGTACAGTAGCTGAGATCTTACGTCTTCAGTGTTTGTGCCGCAAGCGTATCGTGCACCGCGATGTTTTCCCCGCGTAGTTGAAAAACTGCAAATTCTTTTGAGAAAGAACTTTATGTACATCAACAATCAGTTTATGTGGCTTTTCTGTGCTTTTAAATATTTAAGTTGTAAATCGAGCAAAAAGACGATTTTTCAAACAGCATGTTTCCCTTTTAGGAATTATTAGAAATAAAATTGGAAAAAATAACTGTTCAATTAGAGAGATCACAAGTTAAGGTATGTGTGGGTTCTCTGAATTTACGATATTGTTGTCTTAATTGAACGTAACTTCAGTTTATCCAGTGGCATGCAATGAACGCTTGTAAAATATTTCACAAAACTGTAAGCTCGTATAATTTGAGCTGTGACGTCATGCACTTGCACCAGCCGTAATCGCTTTCACCGTCTATTTATTCTATTTATTTGAAGTATATTTATTTCTTTACTAGAATAATGGAGACTCGACAAAAAGGTAGACTTCATATGCATTTGTCTTATATGTATCGTGTTTATTTATAAGTTTCGATTGCACTTCATGATCATGAGTGTGACTCTAGTCTACATACTGTTTATCCTTTGGCAATTAGTGTCACTATAGTTCATCCTACCAGCGTTATATATATGTAGATATACTGCTATCAGTAATACATATATCGTTTGGCGATTAATGTGACTATAGTATGATTAGATATACTACCTTAATAGATATATTTTTTGGCAGTTAGTGTCACAATGGCGCCTCCTACCAACTTTAGATACTATATCTGCTTTACTGCTTAACATTAAAAAAATATTATTATCCACTGAGTGAGGGTGCGTGTGTGCATGCTCATCACTTCAGTATAAGTTCTAACAAATCTAAAATTGATGTAATATGCTACATATATGATATAATATATATAATGGCTAGATCATGAAGTACTTCATACATATCTGTTAAAATTAATGCATTTTTTCCCTTTAGCAGTTTTCTAGAAGTTCCCGGAACGATTCCAGTCCGAGAAAAGAAAGGACGCGAGGATATCAACGACCCAGATCGTGTCCTGACTATAAACGAAAAAGACTGGCACAAACTACAGCAAGCAACAGTCTTGGAAAGTGTTTCGAAGGCCTTTGATGGCGCAGGGTTGATAGAGAATGGCAGTGAAGACGCTGCGGAGAACGAGGACGCCGGTTGTGCTGACGAAAGTAAAGCGACTAAACTTAGCGATGGCGCCGAGGAACTGGCGGTTATGATCCAGGAACAAATCGAGTCGATTAATAGAGAATTAAGGTATCGAAATATTATAACGAATTCATGTTGGTCTCCCAGTAGCTTTGAATTAATATCGGTTGATCAAGTATCCCATAAGAAAGCCTCTCATGAAAGCCTGTTTATATAAAGCCCCGTTTACACTACAATCAATTTATTGGCCCAGTTTAATATGTGTTTAGGCTACCATGACAAAGGCCGAGCGCGGATTAAATTGGTACGAGTACCTATTTTAGCCGTGCCGCGTGCCATTAAATTGACTGTAGTGTAAACGGGGCTTAAGTCAACGTTATCTCTTTCTGTTCACGCACCTGGACAGTTTGGATTAGTAGCAATTGCCTTTTAAATCGGAACAAATACTTGGAAGAAATAACTCGGCATGCATTAAAACATGTTAATCTCTTAACGGTTAATTTAAATTCCCTGAAGTAATAATTACTTCCACCAAATTCCCTGAAAGGTACTGCCATACACATGAGTTTCCTTCCCGAAATTGTAACTGTGATCGCAGAAACTATTGAATGGCCTTAGATAGCAATAAACCCCTTCGATTTCTTTTTTTCTAGCTTACTAAAAGAAGATCCCGAGATGGACGATAGTGCGTTACTTGCTGAGTTAGAAAGAAATCTCGAAAGTGAATATGGCTCAGACACCCAAAGTGTTGATTCCTTATCTGAAATCAGAGGTTTAAGATCTTCGAGTACAAACTCTCCAGCAACACAATCTGCTGAAAGTTCATTATCAAATCGCAGTAAAAGAAATTCCATCGAGGATTTGTTTTCTTCAGAAAAGGTAAAGTACAGATATTATTCTTTGTATACGTTTCATGTAAAGATGAATATAACATTTTCCAGTCATTCTTAGCTCAATACACGCGCTCCGTTGCATCCGGCTGATTACCCAGAATGCATCGTCTTTGATTGCACACACAAATTTGCTTATTGTACGAACAAAAGCCTAATTATTTAATGCCAGAACGTGCCTTAATGAGCACAAATGTTGCTGGGTTAGGGGCAATTTTGCATCTTCATTATTAATGCTGAACATCCGATTTCGAAAATACCAGTGAGTGAGGTGAAATGGTTAGAGACAACATTTATAATTATACAGTAAACTAATTGAAACTTCTCCTTTCAGGACAACTTCATTGCACCTCCTTCAATGTTCCCTTTTCCCCAATATGATCCCATGGACACCCAGCCGTTGCGGGTAAGCGTATATGTGATATTTTCATGCATCGGTATATTATTTATTTGAAAATTGCAATCTCAAAGAAAGCATAACGGAGAGAGAATCAGTATCTAGCAGACGCTTCAGGTAAATTCGATTCGTCAATGATACAAACATTTTTTTTCCAGATGAGTAAAGAAAGTCTTTCTACCCGCTCACAATCCGCATCATCAGATTCTGATCCTCTGGCACGAGGTCCTATAGCAGAAAACCTCTCGGATTTATCTCCATCGGGTCTTACGAGCCCTGAGACGCCCCCCGTGAGAAAACGGTAATCACGGAGTTTCAACGTGTTTTATGAATCTCATGTCGTTTAATTTGAGAAACTCCGGGGAAAATATACAACTTTTCTTTTTTTAGTCATCACAATACCCCCTCTCCGGCGGCGACCAGTCCTCCTGGTTTGGATAGCCCCTCTGGCACCGCCTCTCCTAATAGTACGCTGAGGAAACGAGGTCTAAGGGGCTCTTTTAATAAAATATTTGGTTCGAAATCACGGTCAAAATATCGAGACAGTACGGGAAGCACTGGGTCCGAATCGGACAGCGATACGGCATCTGTCGACTCCTACTCTTCGAATATGGGAAAAAGGGAGCTGGACAGACGAATCAAGCGAGGATCGATACTACTGGGGGATGCTCTGACCGCAAAAACGCCATTTGCCATGTGGAATGCGCATACTGTGGTCGCTTGGTTAGAAGTAAGTAAGACGTTTTTTAAAATATTGTTTGGAAACAACATGAATCAACAACATAATACACATGGACATGTATGAGCATGTTTCACCTCGGTTCTGTTTCGGTTATATCTATAAACTATTTATTTTTGGGCCATCTCGATAACAAGCTGGTTTATAGAATCATGTTTTGGAAGAACGTGTAAATCCGTCAGTAACATGAATCTATTATATCTTATACTCTCGACTGTTTTAAAAGTTTTTTTCTGTATTATTTCAAATCTTTCAATAAAGCACAAGTTTATGGAAACCCTTTGGATGGCCCTGATAAACCTCACACCACATTTGGCAATATCTCTATGGTTACCTAATTAAAATTACTCTTCATGAAGCAAAATGTTTTTGTTGGAAGTTCTCCATCAATGCCAGGATATAGAGATTACTTCGTGGTTGGCGAGTACGTACGATTTTTATGCACGAGCTGTGAAGGGTAAAAAGAAGCAGTAAGGGTAGCGAACGAGTGAGTTTGCGATCCTTCACAACGAGTTCATAAAAAAAATCGTACAAACGAGACAACCATGAAGTAATTTGTTTATTAAATGTCTATACAGATCAATTTGACAACGACACGCTTTTATAATCTACAGCGAGCATCAAAACCTATTTATTACCGTTCTGTTTCTTTGTAATTTTGTTCAATAGAAGTTAGATATTCTTTCCGAAATATTTTATATTATGCTGAATGTGAAAATGTCTTGAATTTAATTGAGAATTATGTTTTGAATCTCACTCCTATATTTCGACGCAATTTTGAAAAATATGTAAACAAATTCCCATACGACAATTTTTCATGTACGTCCAATCAAAAGCCGTGTATGGCATTTTTTCACCCGTGAAAATCATCTTACGTCCAATCAAATTTCATGGAATTAATTTCCACAGTGAAATACGATTTATATTTCATGATTCTGCTGTGCATATATAAATCGATCTCTATACACATATAATAAATTTTATTATACCCCTTTCAATACCTTGGAATCATACTAGAAAACTTTATGTAAACATCAACTACAAATGCTGGTTTATTATACCAAGTTGATTTTGACTAATTTGTTTCGTTGTATATAGTTATGGGTGGGTATGCCAGCGTGGTACGTGGCTGCTTGTCGTGCAAATGTAAAAAGTGGCGCAATAATGTCGGTATGTGTGTCTTTCAGCTACTATTTAATCGACTAATAATGCACCAAGGGTAAAAATGCTCCCCTCGATAAATTCATGAGTATTTGTTTTTTAAATACATGAGTTTTGTGCTATGATTTACACATAAGTTATCTGCTGTGATAATTAAGGTGGGAAATTCATGGCGAATTGTAGTTTTGTTATTGTGAATCTTCAAATGAGACGAGTTACATCCCTTTATAATATCACCTTCATGGTCTTTAAGTTCTTTCCCTAGTTGATCTAAGGTCTGTTTCCATATCCAAATTGCTGTTGCATTCAGCGCTAGAACATGCAGGGCCCCAACATCGATTATTAAACATTCAAGCAGTGTTGAAAAGTGTGGAATTTTCATCCGTGTGTTTTCGACACTGTTTGTATAGGCGTTATCAGATACGGAAATTCAACATGAAATTGGTATAAATAATCCTCTTCACCGACTAAAATTGAGACTAGCCATTCAAGAAATCGTGGCTTTAACCAGCCCGTCACAGCCGATGACTAGCAAAGAGGTGAGTCTGATTAAACATGCGCTTCGTAATAAGATAATTATAATGCATGTATTTATAATTAAACAATTAAAGCAAAGGAACTTGCTTGATTTATTTCACTAACGTTTCCCCCTCTTTCGCTCAATTTACCCCCTTCATATATGAAATCGGGTTCTCAAGGATTAATGTAATCGCTATGATTATTGTATCAAGACGGTTTATCGCATTAGAACTTGTCGTTATTGCTTAGCAAGTTTAATGACGTTGGCCTTGGAATGTATAAAAACACACTGATTCATCTTTAAGCTCATACGTGTATTATGTGCCCTAAGAAGATTAGGGATCTTTACACATACATGTATAACACATGCCAGAAAACTTCTAAAGTTCTGTAGTTTTATATAAATACATGCAAATATTCTTGTACCCTTACGCAGCCGTTTTTTTCGTTTTTTTCCCTGTGACTGTCAGCTTGAAGTCCTATATTAGAATACCAATGTTGGAGTAAAACTTTGAAACGTCACGTTTTATTTGTAGCTTTTAGTGCGAGGTGAAATGAACCACGAATGGGTTGCGAATTGCTGGCTTCCTAGTATTGGATTGCCGCAATATAAGGTACGGGTCACCAGAATGTTTTACTGAAGAAGATCTAAGCTGTTTGCCGAGTGTTCACAAAAAAAAGATTAACCAGTATTATTGGTATAAGACTCGTGGGAGTTGAAACATTAGACGTGGTTTCAATTCCGCATAACTCCAAATTATGCTTTAATGCAGTTTCGAACCGTATGTTTGTTTGGGTTGAACGAAACGAAAAACCTAGTACGGAAAGGGGGAAAACTCTTCTCTTTCATGCTAAATCCTATGTATTCAGTATTATAGCCGTTACCGTTTGAATAATCTTTAATTCTTGGAACATATCGGAATCTCCGACATAAACGTTTTGAACTGTTTTCTTTTCTTTTCTAGAGTACATTCCATGAATGTTTAATTGATGCGCGAATGCTCGAACATATTTCTAAGAAAGATTATCAGAAATATTTAAAAGTAGTGGATAGTTTTCATAGGTAAGCCAAAATTTGTTGTGTTTGGGTTTGCGATCACAAGTCTTCGTCTGTAAAGGCGACGAAATCACTGGAAATTTTTCACTCGAAATTTTTAGTAAAAAGCCTCCCTAATACATCAGCTATCATCTGTTTTTGTTCATTATCTTTCCATGGTTAACCAATATTCCTTTTTCTTTTTTTAGGCGTAGTATACAATGTGGCATTAAATGTTTAGCAAGTCTAAAATTTGATAGAAGGGTAAGTCACCATTATGCATTGTCTTGTCCGGGAGTGAATTTTAAAAATATCACGTGTGTATCAAACGCAAATGAAAATAAATATTTAATTTATTCAGTTACTTGAAAAGAGAAGACAGGGCAGTCAGAGCGAAAATAAAGGTATTCAATTATTTACAATAGGTAGCTATGTTAGGTCCACCCGTTGCTATATAACCGGTTGATCGTTCAGAATATCGAATTATTAATTATCTTGTATTAATTAATTTATAAACGCGATGCATGTGCACTGGGGAATTTATTGGTTGTTAAAATAAAATTTACCAGCTAAAATTTGACTATATTTGCATTTTGATGGAATTTCCATGGAATTCGTATCGCACTGGCTAACTCGCAAGCTCGCTACGAGATGTTTTATTCTATAAGAAAAAGTTGATTTTGATTACATGCAAGCCTCGCAGCGAGCTTTCGAGTGGGTTTTTGCGATTGGTGGAAAAGGAAGGGCCTCGACGCTGGATCAGCTACATGACTGTGTGTTAATATGCATGTTGGTAATAATAACTTCTTTCTATATCACTTCAGGAAGGTACAAATACACCCTTGGTAATTTGTTTCTTTGGTGTGTTTCTTCGTTGTGTTTAGATGTTTTCGTATGGAGCAATACTCGTGTAATAAAATGGCTTGCATCGGTTGGGTTGGAAGCGTATGCCGATAATATAAAGTTTAGTGGAATTCATGGTGCATTGTTCATACTCGACCAAGATTTCAATCATTCTACGTTGGCAATGTGTTTGCAAGTTCCGACATCAAACAATCAGGTAGATCGAACGACTAATATAATAGCTGTACGTGAATTTGCGTGGAGTGCTGTAAATAAGATGCGTTCGAAACAACACAGCAAACTTGTCATTTCACCAATTTTTAAATTATTATAAAGGAAAGAACGAAATGATGGGGACAAAAAACCCATTCATATGCAGTCTGATATATTGTATATACTTATTAATAAGTACAGCAGAGTGTTTTTCAGGGCATTTTCCATCATGGCAACATTGCTTTTATATATGATATTGCTATGAATTACTCACTTTTTACCCTGCAGCAAAGCTAAATGTATATACATGCCATGTTAAGAATCTTCCCTGCATGATTAACATCTTGTTGCCCGCTTGTCAACAAGATAAGAACAAGCACATCTCGCCACATTATACCATTTCATGAAAAAGTTGAGGGTGCCCTCATATACTTTAATTTACATAAGTTTAACCTCAAAAAAGTTTGTTTTTTCCGGCGGTTCAAACTAAGTGACGACGAACTAATTTGATCATTTTTTTCTTTGTTGCATGTAGATATGTCAATTATTGGAGAAAGAATATTCAAAGCTGATGAGTACAACACAATCCAGTACAATAAATGCTGATATGGAGGTACGTGTATTACGTTTATTGCAATGGGAAAGCAACGCGTGCTCTTTATTGTCTTATAGTTCACCAAACTTTAACAACGATGTCCCGATATCACTAGCAATAATTATATCAGTGAAGGTGTAGTGCTGCACCATCTCGAAGTTTATTCTGTAGGGAAACTTCAATTATAAAATCGGAGATGCGCAACTAAGTGCTAAGTGGTCCACTTGTACTTGAGAACTTTGAGTACCCTGTGGTCATCCCAATTAAATTGACCATGCCAGTAAAAAATTTCATCATAAATTGACCGATAAATCGTCACCTCGCACAAAGAGTACATTTTAGCACTCAACTTTACAGCTTGGAGACGGCAACAAATTCAAACGCACTCAGTCATGGCGAAAGATCTTAAAGAAGAAGGACAAAAAAGATAAAATGGACAAAGTGAAAGAGAAAGAGGAAGGAAAGTTGGATGGAGCGAATTCAGGATCAGATTCATCGATCAGTCAAACGAGTACAACATCATCAGCGAGTATCGGAGGAAGGCGGACGAACGGAAAAGGTATATCGCTTTTTTTAAAAACATTCTACTCTTCGTATGCTTTCTAGTTGGATATAGTATGGAATTTATACTATCCATGCTGATTTCCATTTCCATACTATGGATATAGTACAGTACGGATATACCATGGAAACATTATGCGTATAGAAAATTTCCGTAGTTGAGATCTTCCAGTGATGAAATAGTAAATAAAAATTTCCAGTGGTTTATTAAAATTTGACTAGAAATATAAGAGCATCAAGTCATCATGTACAAGGTCTGTTTAGACGAGCAACATTGATACGTGTGCAAGCCAGGGACAATGCTTTATTACGAGAACCTTATCGTTCACATCCGTATCCATGCCTCGTTATCATCAATATTGTAGTGATCAGCAAAAATAATGCAAAGCAAAATTAAAAATAAGTTAAATGTACCTATAGCATTCGATTCTGGTTAAAACCTAGTAAATGTTAAAACATAAGATTTAGTTATATTCCTGAGCTTCGATTTTCATTTTTACCTCGCGGTAACTTTTTAAATAAGCTTTTAAATTAAAGTCGGGAACAGTAACCAACTGTTCATCTGCTTTAGAAATTGAATCTACTGGAAAAGCAAGTGCGTCATAACATTCGCAAAACAATGGTTAGTATTTTTTTTTCTGCTGATCAAGTCTATTTTGCTAGCAAAATATACGAAAGATGTTGTACAGGTACATGTACTGGTTGGAATATGTACCAAGAGTAACTAATTTGTTATTAATAACATTTTTTTCTTCTTTGTTCTTGTCTTTATGTTTCTGAGAAGTATAATTGATTGTCATTTCATGTCAGGGATGGATCCAGCATGATTTTGCAGGGGGGGGTGCTATAGTGCGCAGTAGGTGTCGGTCGGTCTATAGTCTCTCCTTTGTGGGTGCCGCTCTGTCAGACGTTTGTGGGTGTCGGTCATCAGTCATGGGCATTGCATGATTAAAGTCAACAAAAAAATTCCATTGATTCAAGGCACCATTTTTTATTAGTCATATTCTTGATCACTGGCATAGGCAGACCTGACAATTGGGTGGGGAGCACGTATATATCAAACAATAAAAGTGTGAGCCTTGTAGGAGGGTCCGGGAGTATCCTCCCCCGGGAAAATTTTAAAATTTAGAGTCCCTCAATGGCAATTTCCTGTGTTTCTGTGTTTCAGTTTTAATTGTTCACAGTTTGCTTATCTTTATTTATCTTATTTTATTACTCAAATTATTCTGTCTCCAATATTTTTTTTGTTTTACCATAAAAAATAGCACCCCCCCTGCACCCCCTCTGGCCACGGCTAGGGGGGGTGCGCACCCCCCCGCACCCCCCCAGTAAATCCATCCCTGTTTCATGTTTTCCTAACGCTAATACGAATATGTGGATTTTTAATTCCCTAGTGTATCTTGGGAGTCTTTGTCGTGATGTCGTCTGCAACGACTTGAAACTCCTCCCCCAACCGTCAGAAGAGAACATGGACGCCGTTCATACCACAAGTCGTTCGAATATGTTACGAAAAAATTAGATCCGTTGAGTTCCAGCTGAGATTCCATTCGTATTTCTTTCTTCGGGATGTTGAATTGTAAAGACCGTGAGTTGAACTAACATGTAACACAGCAGACAGTCTATAATATACTAAAGTAATCTTTCACTAGTTGTGTTTTATAACTAAATAATTTATACACCGCAGTAGTTGTGTTATTCACAGAATACAGTATATATTAGTCGTATTCAGATTTCCCGCTTGAGTTCAAGGAGTAGTGGCACTTCCATGCAATGCTTTGCACTATTCTGTATAGACCTATATAGGATATTTTGAATCCGGATTCCACCTTTACTTCCATTACCGCTATCTTTTTCGTTGAGCTTTACATAGGCACTTGTGATTGGCTAATCTGATAAATGTGTTGAATTTCATTGGTTCATGTCACCTCAAAGGCTCAGATAGTAGAAGTCAAATCTGAACTTGATATACGGACATTTTTGGATTACCAATGCCCAATGCAAGGGATTACCAATGCTTTGAGAATGCCGTACGAGTACTTGAAATTATTGCTTTAATAATATCCGACAATTCTTGTGTTGAAATATGTTTTTAAGAGTACAAACGGTCGATTTCTCGTAATTGTGCTCAGTTGTGGAATTAGTTGTTCACGGAACAGAATAAAGAAGTTTCAGTGTGTATAAATAAACGCAACCTTACCAGGGTCCTACGATCATGTTATTGAAAAGAAGAAAATATTTATGAATATTAAGTGTTGTTTTTTTATACATCCTGTAATCATGACTGCATCCCGCTAATGTGTGATCGTAACGTCACGAGGCGCCTCGACAAAACTGTGTAATTATTTGAAGGAAGTAATAATTCAGTTTTGTCGAGGATATGGCTTCTGATCGGTTCCTTTTCGCACCCAGATTATCTGAATGTACATGAAAGATAACCATGCAATATTTCTGTATTCTTGCCAAATCAATCACGTAAGAGAATTGAACTTGAATTTTGATCGTGCTATCAGTATCATATTTCCAAGACGCCTTCATTTATCTTTGAGTTGAAAAACTTCGTGTTGCGTTAGCGGATTGCGTCAGGTGTGCTAATACATGTGATTGAAAAAATTATTGCCGCCAAAACTCTTAACATGCAATAGTTTGAACGCTCCAACACAAATTTGGAGATATTTTTGCCACCCATATTTTCGAAATTTATTGTCAATAATGACAAATTTATAAGGTTATTTTATGAAATGTTTCTCCTTAAAATCGGGTAACGGAATCCAGGTAGTCCTGGTTCTCAAATCAGCGGTTGAGGTGTCTAATACATACCTGTATATTAGCAATAAATTGTCAGATATTGTTTAACATACATTGTCTTAATATTTTAACAGATAACTATTTTATATACGTTACGAATATTAGCTATAGAACTATTCATGTAAACGAACCTGTAAAATATAATTTTTGTAACAATTAAATAAAGATGTACGGGTGGGTAGTCAATGTTATAGTTTTCGGTTATCGGATATGGAAAATGTTTCTGGCTGACAATCTCGGTTAGGTTTTTCACGTGATCAACATAGGCTAGTCTGCACTAGCAAGGCCTACGTTAAACGTCGCATTTTGGTCGCGTCGAATGCAATTCAAACGATAGATAATGAGATTGATAATGAGGCTTAATGAGGTTTATCAGCTCATCCATTGTCGGAATTTAAACTCACAATTCCAAATTATGCGACGTATATAACGTAAGCCGTAAAGCCAGTTTTCCACTAGGCGGAATTTTTCGCTCGATTGAAAACAATTGTGACCGGTGAAGGGAATCCGCCAGGGTCGAATTGAAAAGAATATCAGACGAAAAATTTCGTTCGGTCGAAAAATTGCGCCTAGTGGAAAACCGGCTTAAGGCCCGTTTCAGACGTCGAAATTTTCATGTGCCGAATCGAATGCAAATTTAGTTCATTTGCATTAGGTTCGGCGCATGAAAAGTTCGACGTCTGAAACAGGCCTAATGCACCAGAGAAGACTGGCGCCACGCGGGGTGATATAAAAGTATGTAATAAATATGTGAATCTACGTTTTGTTTACATTTACATTTGCACCTTTTTACAACCTTTCTGCGTTTCTTTTTTTAAGGCAATATGTATAACAAGGAAGAATTTCGCTTGTTTACATTTTCAGTATTGACCATCGGGTGAAAAGGTGTATTATTTTCTATTTTACACGTAGCCTAAAAAATCCAAACTGATTGGTCGATTAGTTCGAAATGAAATTCCTCCTTGTTGATAATATGTTTAGTTTTCTTGGTGCTTACGCTACCATTTTAGGCCTGCTTCACACTTGTCGTAAGAATCGGGGAACCGTTGTATATATTTTCCGACAGAAAAATTTTGCGCACCATGCAGTGACCTCGGACAAAGGGAGTCCCAGATTCTTACGCCAAGTGTGAACCAAGCTGTAGATGCATGCGAATGTTGCAATTTAATCTAGATCCGCCACTGCTTTTACTTGGATTGCGCGTAAGCGATCGATGTAATTATGGTCTCAGCTGCATGATTGCACTCTGCCGAATGGGACTGGTTGGATGAACGGTGCACGACACGTTGTTAAATTAAACACTGCATTAATAATTGGCGCTAAGAAATGCGCAATGTCTCTCCGAAACTAATATGGAAGCCCATCACGACCTGGTGCTGATCAATTTAATTTCGTCAGGTAGCTTTTGACAGTAAGATCATCAATGGCAAGAACTCGGGTGAAGATGATGCGGATTAATTAAGTCTATCCAAAAAGGGTAAATTCGTTGTTTAAAGTTGAAGTCGTCAAATAAAAATTGCACTTTTCTGGCAATTTTTTTCCAAAAAAAGCACGATTTTTACGGAATTTTCACTCTCCCCAGTTCTTTTGAAGGCTTGATTTGCTCACGCGGCTCCCGCCTCAATCAGCAAATTATATTCGAATCAGCTTCATCCAATGACTAGTCTCTATTGTTCAGTTATCGTTCCAGTCTTATTAGAGTTCACTGGCTTGACCAGAGCCGACATGTACGGTAGATCACGTTTTGACATCTTTAAATTAGAGGAAAATATTCATTAAACATACAATTTTGGTATTAAATAGAGTGACTGTATCATTGACGTGTCTGCAATTATGAATCTGGCTCCAATTATATGTCTGCAAATTCCTAGACATTCTGGACTTTCGATGAGCTCTTACATCTCTAAAACATACATCTCTTCTTTCAGGTTTTCTAACATGTCGTGGAGATATCATAACAGCCAAATGAACAGAACTCACTTGCCATGGCCTTTGAAAATCTTTGCTTTTTCCCTCAGATGTGGCCGGCAGTTGATTATATAGGAATACATCTGAAATTTTACGATTTCTGGCCATGACTTGATGTTATATTCTTGTTTTATAAATATATAATTGAGTAGAAAAAAAATAAAGAGAACTGATAAAGATCAAGTACAAAGACTAACTAACTAAATTCAAACATGGCGGTTCTTTATATCTATGGACATGCAAATTAATATCCATATATGGTAGTCCACAGGTATACCATGACATCCCTCTTTTTCTAAGATAAATTATCTAAATTATTAATAATAATAAATGTTCAAACGTCAACTAATTGTTCCTTAATTAAAATTAATCTAAGTTCAGTAGCAATCATAACTGTTTATCGCAGTACTACAATACTAAAAAAACAACTTACAAGTTATAAATATTAACTAATCATTTGTTTCATTCTATAAATTCAATCTGTCCGGGCGTTTAATAGTACGGGTAGATCGCCGCAGCTTTGGGGTTTCAACATTACTTGTCTCTTCGACTTTGGGTGGTGAAGTTGGAACAATAGTATATTACTAGGAGATGACGATTCAGATGCAGTAACGCTAGTAGATGGATTGTCACCGACATTTTCATTGATTGGTTCAACGCACGGTCGAATATGCTGACGATTCCGTTTTAAGGTACTACCACTAGGCATATCTACAACATAAGATTTCGGTGTTTGTGCCTTTTTCTTGACAACACCAGGTTCCCACTTATGATTACAGGGATTGAGTACACGGACACTATCGCCTGGATATATTTCTGGAAGATTCCTGCATGACTTGTCATAATAAAACTTTTGCAGATCTTGTCTTGCTTGCAATTTAGCATTAGCTTCATCATCTACCTTTGGAAACCAAGATGGTTTGGAAAAACTAGGAAAGTTAGATTGATAAGTCTTGGAATTCAACAATTCTGCTGGTGACGGCAGGTGATGGTTAATAGGTTTTGTTCGCAGGCAAAGTATAGCAAGATGTGGATCTAATCCGGACTCTCTGCATTTCTGTAACACGTTTTTAACCGTCTGCACATTCCTTTCGATAAACCCATTTGCTTGAGGATAATAAGGACTAGTTTTAACATGTTCAAAGCCATATGCCTTACTGAATTCTGCGAAGCTTGATGAAGTAAACTGAGTGTCGTTTCCAGTAAAAAATTTACTTGGTATTCCGTGCTCTTCAAAGAAAGACTTCAGATGTGCAATAACTGTATTTGACTTGATATTGCGAAGCTTACGAATTACAGGAAACTTGCTGTAGTAATCTGAGACCAGGAGGTAAGATTCATTGTTCCAAAAGAACAAATCTGAGCCAAGTGTATGCCACGGTTTAGGTGGAACGTCATGAGGTGTAAGTGGTTCCTTTACATTTGCATGTTGTTTATACTGGCAAGGACTGCAACACTTCACCATGTTCTCTATATCGGCGTTGATACTTGCCCAAAATACCGAACCTTTAGCTCGAAGCTTGCATTTTTCAGCGCCTTGGTGTGCATAATGAATTTGCTGTGTGAATTTGCATGATGTGAGTTCCTTTAAGTATTAATCCGTTAGCAATCGTCAGTTCATCACGATAATTCCAATATCCGTGAAGGTGTGATGGACAGTCCGATCTTTTATCTGGCCATCGGTGGCGAGTAGCGACGGCTTTCTTCGTCGCGAAGTGCCGACTTCTTGGCGACATATAAACACGAGATGTGATTTCATTTTCATTGTTGTCTATTTCAAAAGACTAAAAGTGCATGGCTCGTTTTAATTCGTCGGATGCTCGTGATATTGTGTGCTGTAATTATTGTTAATGTGGCATTTACGTACCTGTGCGAGCCGGGTTATTAGGGGGCTTTAGCCGTGACCATGAGTACGAGATTCGTCATTCCCGTGCGTTGTTTGCTTGGATCCAACATTTATATACTTGAATATTTAAGCATGTTCATTATTGAAGCGCTTAATTTTGGAGGAGCACTTTCATCTATTCATATTTACATACCGTAGGAACAATGGCTTTTCAAAAGCATCAGTCGGGCGATACATGAATATGCCGCACCCTCGCAATTTGAAAGATGAAGCTAAAATTTCCAAATAATGCAATCTGCATATAATTTTTCATGTAAGTCGAATATAGTCATAAGCGGAGTAATCAAAACTCTTTAGAATCTCAGCACGATGTTCAGCACGATGTTCAGCACGATGTTCAGCACGATGTTCAGCACGATGTTCAGCACGATGTTCAGCACGATGTTCACGATGCACAGTAATTAGCATTTTTTCCCCATTTAATTGCAGGCTCGATTCCCAGCATGTGCACTACGTGATTGACAATTTGAGGGCGAGTATAATCGCAGACGCCACAACGGACAACTGAGAATTCAAAGAATCAAAACATTCATCACAATGATGCCAAAAAAGATAGCTTTCGGTTTCTAGAATGCTACTAACCGTAGACGAGGTTTTGGAGGGGATTGGTGGCCACGGACGCTTTCAAACGATAGTATTTCTTTGCATGACCTATGTTTATATGTCTATGGTTGCTTTCCATCTGATGGTTATTGTTTTTGTATGCGGTGAACCTAATTGGGAGTGTGTTGAAAATAGCACAATTTGTAACCTTACCGAAGCAGTGAGTACGGTAAGCGAATATTACAACAGAAGATGCGATATGCCGAGATCTGAATGGAAATTTGTTGATACCTACACATCAACAGTTACCGAGGTGTGTATGATACAATGAGATATAAAGCCCGCCGCAAACGAGAGCTATTTGCTGAACTAAAGACCTCGCGTCGCAGTTAGCTCAGCAAGTTACTGTCCGGTGTGCGGATGGTTTTCGGGCTGAGATAACTGCCTGGCGAGGTCGTTTGCTCGGCTGATAGCTCTCGTGTGCGGCGGGCTTAAATTGTGAGTTGATTGTATTTTCCTCTTCACGCTTGCTTGCTAGATATGCCATAGAGTATCATAAGTATAAACATAAACAGAACGGACTTCAACTAAAACAGTTATAGTAGCAAATACCGGAGTGTCTTGCAAATACCGGAGCAGTATTATGGCAGTCAGTTGTCAAACGGCAAATTAACGCCGTTTCAAAACACTGGTTTCACTCGTTCTGCGCAGAGAAATTTACACGACAAAAATTGTGTGGAGTGTCTTTAAGGCTAAAGCACTGAAAATGGATTCAATATTTTTGTTGTGTACATCATATTTTTTAAGATATAGTATACTTCGTGTCCAACCGCAAGCACTTAGATACCCTGGAATATTCGATCTTTTGTGATCGAGTAGAAAGTAATTATCGTGAATAATTGGTGGCTGCGTTTTTTATGCACGCTGTATAAATCCGATTATGGACGAACAAAAAAATACCATACGTTTTGCCCCCTCCCTTCCAATTAAAGCTAAGTGTATTATTTCATGCATAATTAAATGTTTGTGAAGAATGGCATTTCTCAAACCCTCCTATATAGTTATCATTTCTCGGTTTGTTTTGAGATTCGGTCGTATACTCATTTTATCATTGCTCATATTATCATTGCTTATATTATCATTGCTTATATTATCATTGCTTATATTATCATTGCTCATATTATCATTGCTCATATTATCATTGCTCATATTATCATTGCTCATATTATCATTGCTCATATTATCATTGCTCATATTATCATTGCTCATATTATCATTGCTCATATTATCATTGCTCATATTATCGTAAAACTTGTCAAAAAACATTTGTCAAATTTTTCGCGTACACACAAGCAAATAAAACATGGCAAGGGAAACTTGCCAAAGAAAAATAGGAAACTTGTTCGTCATACACACGAGCAAGTGAACTGGTCAAGAAAACTTCTCAAGGTAAACTTGCCCGTCTCTACGGGGCAAAAAAGTTTTAACAGTCCTGTGAGCCAAGGTCGAGCTGAGTATACTCGCGGCTCCATACGAAGCGCCGGTACGGAGCGGGAATACGGAGTTGGAGTACGAAGCTGGAATACGGACCTGGAGTTTGGAGCTGGAGTGCGGAGCTAGAGTTCGGAGTTGGAGTACGGAACTGGGGTTCGGAGCTGGAGTGCGGAGCTAGAAGTTGGAGTACGAAACTGGAGTTCGGAGCTGGAGTGCGCGGCTGGAAAACGGAGCTGGAGTGCGGAACTGGAGTTCGGAGCTGGAGTGCGGAGCTAGAGTTCGGAGTTGGAGTACGGAACTGGCGTTCGGAGCTGGAGTGCGGGGCTGGAGAACGGAGCTGGAGTCGGAACTGGAGTTTGGAGCTGGAGTGCGGAACTGGAGTTCAGAGCTGGAGTACGGAACTGGTGTTCCGCTATTCGATTTCTTCATAGTCGCTACTAAGTAACATGTATTTTTCCTTGCTTTATTATAAATAAATTATTTAGCGAAACCCCTTATGCACTTCCCGAGACCTAATTAATGACAATTCTTTGTCACGAGTTGTCTGTCGCGATCATATAGCATTTGATATCATTCAAAACACGCGTCTAAGTTCCTAACTAACAAATGCCAACTATGATCAAACATCGAATTTTTCAAAATACTCGACAAATATTAAATATTTTGAAATCGCTTCTATTAAGTTGTAGTATAAAATTACTTATTTGTGCAATGCAACAGGTCGTGTGGAATGTTTCCCTTTTAACATCTGTCGTCGCCAGGTCGTCGCCCTTACCACAGCCCTATTACAGGCGTCAAACAAGGCTGGACATAATTTCCTGGTTACTTGAATTGTTCACTTGACAGTTAAATATAGTCAGAAGGGAATAATGAATAACTATGGAAAGCCATGGCTGTCTTAGGTGGTTAAGTCTCGTTTCCAACTTTAACATGATTTATCTTTATATCACTTAGGTGTTCGCGGCATTATACGGCGTGCTTTGAACATTATACGAGGTCACCATCATCATCATCACTTTATTTAAAACACGCTAGCCCCATTTAAATTTAATAAGAGTTGATTTCCAGGAGGGGCGTGTGAATAATAAAAAGAAAATTGAAAATAATACAATATTTACAAGAATAGAGATAAATTAATGTATGAAAGACTAATTAATTATTTTATATTACAGATTAAATGTAAGGCTTGAGATTGAACGCTTGAAGTGCCTAACTGAGATAGCTTTTTTTTGCTTCTGTCTGAGGACTATTCCACATACTTGACGCACAATAATTGAAACTGCGTTTTAAAAATTTTGTTCTTGGTTTTGGTAATTTTAAATCAGTGTCATAATTTCGCAGATGATAGTAGCCCTCCAAATCTCGAAGTCAGTTTATAAAATTATTAGTCAGGCCCGGAGCTGAAAGTCCATTGAGGACTTTATACAACAGAACACTTTTCAATTTAGCACGTCTGACATTAAGAGTGTCTAAATTTAATTTTTGCAATATCATGCTAGGACTGATATCGTAATTTGCACCACCGCACGGTTCTGGAGCACCTGCAATTTATCCTTTAAGACCTTATCACAAGTGTCCCACAAAGGGAAGCAGTAATCCAATTAAAGATTTATAAAGTGTCAGAAGATAATCTAATGAGACGAAAGATTTTATTCTTCTCAAGACACCTAAACCAGAAGATATTTTTTTACATAATTCTTCGATTTCGAGGATATATCAAAGGCCAGCTTCTCATCAAGATCAATCTCCAGACATTTGTTGGAGATGACAGATGTCAGAGTTTTGTTGTTCATAGTGACGCTATAGAGCTAGGTGTTTTGAACATTATCACGAGGTACTCCTAACATCATATGCAGTGCTTTTACTATTACACGCGGCGCTTCGGACATTTTACTCGGGTGTAGCGTTATATGCTGTACCAGCAGGGGCGCATATTAAGAAAAATAGTGGAGGGGGGTGTCTTGTGTTCTGGGACCGACTTTTGTAAAGCGTTCGTGCTCGATCAAATTGATAGTTCCAGGTGCGAGTGCAGACCAATATTTGACCGTGTCTGAGATCCAACCGCTATATAGGGAAGTCCGGGGGCCTTCCGCACCGAGAAATTTTCAAATTTAAAGCCCGCTAATGGCATTTCCTTCGTTCTCAGCAACAAATATTACTCTAAAAATGCCTTACGGCACTCGCATTTATAGAAAAGTTATACGAAAAAATACATAAAATCGACAATTACCGTTCAAAATTAAATAATACGTTCGATATGTAACCGTTGACCACTACTGATATATGTTATTCAACCTTTTGAATTTGAGATATTTACATACAAGACGAACGATTAACCGCATGAATATATTAAATGTTCAGTCCAATTTATATAAAGTCAGAGACATACCAGCATCGATCTTTCGAAGATTCCTGATTCTTAGTAAATTGGGCTCCGACCATTCTCAGTTCTCACGAACCCTGACGAACGCATTGTTAAATTATTATTCCCAAATCTGCTGCCCGCGGCGTACTTCAAACCTTCGAACCAAGATACATTTACTAGTATGAAATCTCGTTCGAGATATCTTCTTGCGATTAAAACGCTTGTAGATTCGGAGCACCAGTGCATGCATGTTGTGAAAGTTCGCCCAAGACGAAGGCAACCGAGCCCTCTGGGGTAATCTGATCGCATTACCTTCGCGGAGAATGAGGGCAGGCTCGATTCCCAGCATGCGCACTGCATATAATTGACAATTTCAGATCGATTACAATCTTAGACCTCCACAACGGACAAGTGACAACTGAGAACTCGAAGAATCAAAACATTCAACACAATGATGCCTAAAAAGATAGCTTTCGGTTTTTAGAATGTCACTTACCGTAGACCAGGTTTTGGAGAGGATTGGTGGCCACGGACGCTTTCAAACGATTGTATTTCTTTGCATGACCTATGTTTATATGTCTATGGTTGCTTTTCATTTGATGGTTATTGTTTTTGTATGCGGCGAACCTAATTGGGAGTGTGTTGAAAATAGTACAATTTGTAACCTTACCGAAACAGTGAGTACGGTAAGCGAATATTACAACAGAAGATGCGATATGCCGAGATCTGAATGGAAATTTGTTGATACCTACACATCAACAGTTACTGAGGTGTGTATGATACAATGAGATATATTCATTTGTGAACTGATTGCATTTTCTACACCGACTATTAACGCGCTAGCTTGTGAACATGTGCCATACAGCATTAAAATATAAGTAAATCATGAGTATAAACATACACAGACGCACTTCGGTTATAGTGGCCTGCATTTACCAGACTGTCGTCCGGCAGTATATGTCCGCGGCCCTCAGACGGCAATTTGGCGCCGTGTCAAAACGCTGTTTCGCTGGTTTCGCGCAGAAAATTTAACAAAACAAAATATTTTTGTTGTATGCATTATATTTCTTGAGACATAATATTTTCGTGTCGAATTTCAAATCTGACTCATGCATCGACGGAGAAAAAAATTACCATGTATAATGTATTTTGTTTCTTCCTAGTGAAATCCGACTAGCTAGAAGGTTAATTGTTTCATTGCTCAAGCAATACTAAAGTTATCGCGCTGTTGTTGCGAAAATATCGGTGTGGGTTTAGAGCCATGCCAGGGAAATAGAGCTGTTAATTTTGAATTGTTTGGAAAGGATTGTATTGAATTGTAAACATGAATATATGAATATAATCATTATCGTGATTATAGTTAAAAAGCAACAAAGTGAACAAAGACATAAATTGATATCAAGCTATAAATTAGCCATACAATATCATATTATATGCCGGTGGACGGATGGAAAGCTTTGGAGTAAAAATGAACAATGTCTATGAACAGTTAAAATTTTCTAGAGACTTCAAATTTGAGCTGTAAATCTGGACATATGGCATGCTTTAGTTTTTAATAATAGAGCTGTATGAATTATAGCTGAGTGACATGGTCTGCGTTCATTCGTCACCAGAACGTCACTACGGAGTACCACGCTCACTTTTCCGGCTTTTGCATGCCTTCTTAGCTCCAACATCAATAATTTATTTTTTCATCGCTCTCGATTTTCTTAAACAGCAATTTCGCGAATGCCCAAGGCTACCTTACTAGAGAGAGTTACATAGCTTTTAGGTATTGCATTACCTTTCAAATTTTGGCATTCCTTAACCTTTCATACATTTCTGTCACTTAGAGTATTAATATGAGTTTCAACAGTGCCATGCACGCAAACATAATTAAGTATATCCTGAAAGTCAAGGTTAATCTGATTATACTCGCGTCTCCATACGGAGATGGACTGATGGAGTACGAATATAGAGTACAGGGGCCGGTTGTTCAAAGCCAGGTTAGCGCTAACCCTGGGTTAAATTTTACTCCGCTGTTTTGGTTTATATGCTTCTGCACCGCTGTCTGTTTCAAGAATTTACAAAATAAGACTTTCATTCATCCACAAAATATTTATTCACACAAGGTTAGAGTAGAAGTCAAGTCCATTCTGCGCACAGGTTCTGCTCATAACAAGTGAGGGCCCTCTGATGTGAAAATTGCCTAAATTTCGCATGTCTCATATTTTTTTCTGAACATAAACTCTAGTTCATATTAATTTAGAGGCGTAACGAACCTAAATCGCGTTAGATATTCAGACAGCACATCGTATTTCAAAAATGGTGAAGTTCAAAATGTAAACAAACCGTTTGTTTACACTACGGACTTGACTAAGCTAACCGGCTTTTGAACAAAGTACAGCGAAGCCGGAGTACGGAGTTGCTGTACGGACTTTCAGTGCGGAACTGGAGCATGGAGCCGGAGTACGGGGCTGGAGTACGAGCTTATAGTGAACTTTGTACCCAGGAGCACCAAACTGGAGTAGGGAGCCGAAATACGTGGCTGGAGTACGACTATAGTTGTTTTGTTGTTTTTATTGTAATATAAAGTCGATAAACTAAGGTTAGATCCTAAAAACATTATTCAGTATTCGGTCTTGATATAAAAAAATCTGCTCTCTGCTTTGAAAAGCATTTTCGAGAGCTCGAGCACACAGTCTGCGAGCAGGCTAAACCTCACGGCCGAAGGCAAAATCAACATAAATGTTTAAAAAACAAAATAACTATGTTAGTGGCTTAAAAAATGGCTGGCAAGATCTAATCACAACTCACAAGCCCCTATTATACCAAAGTAGAGATAATTCGTCGATCATCTTTCTACTGTAATATTCTAAATCTTATCACTTGCAACTTTATTAACTATAGATGAGGTATTTACAAGGAAGTGCTTAAACTCTCTGTTTATCATTCCTAGTATGATCTTGTATGTGAAGATTCCATCCTTCAAAGTGTCGTGTCTTCGTTGTTCTGGGCAGGATGGCTTGTTGGCAATGTTGTCCTGGGGTATATATCAGATAAACTTGGGCGTCAGAAGGCCAACCAACTATCAGTGTCTTTGGTTTTTCTCTCTTCCTGGGCATTAATTTGGCCAAAGAAACTCTGGATATTCATGTTTTGTCGTTTTATCACTGGTTTTGGAAGTGGTAGGTTTGCTCTCAATTCTTGTATATTTTAACATACATTGAAAGAAAGTAAATTGTGAATATGGAATGTGAAATGCGAGGAAGTAAAGTACAGTCAAGTACTGCGCTGCCTTTTCTTATTTGAAAAAAATTTAACTAGCAAGCTCTAGTTTGTACGATGATAGCCTATACTACGAATTTATCAATTCAAATACATACATCATTTGCCGTTTGTTAAAGTGAATATGACATATTCAAAATATTTTCTTGAAAAACAAGAAAAAGCGCGCGATTCGACCGAATGATTTTAACTCTTACCTGCAAGGAGTTTGAGCTTCCTCAGATGTTCACTATCAAAATCAAATCGTGACGACGAGAAAAGAGTGAGTACGAACGCGGATTTGATGTCATATATAGAGAACGTAGTCTGACACCAGGACGTTTTAGTAAAGCGAAGTATATAGTAAAACAGTTTAGAGTCAATTTCTCCCTTTGAAAAATGCAAAATCACTATTTATGGCTGTGTTTGAAAAATAGTTTGGTATTTTACATGAGAAAAATGGTAATTCACATGCACTACTAGAAATGCATGCATGCATGCAAAATCCCCTCGCCTGAGACAATAAACATATATTTCCAACACTGAAATTCTATAATACTGGTTTTTGCTGAATTATCGAAGTCGTATAAGTAAAATCCTATATCAAGTACAATTGTAAAGTCGGCTCTCGAGCTATCAAATTCAACTACCGGGTGTCCCAAAAAAAACTTTACCTCTTTGTCTTAATATAACTCAAAAACGAATAAAAGTCATTAAATTGAAATAAACTCCACTGCATGCAAGCAGGGCTAACTTAGATTTTGATATATAACACTAAATTATTGATGCGATATTTACGGAGATACAAGCATTTGATGTCGCAAGGTACTTTCAAAATCTGTGCAAAATTGACAAAAATCGGCTATTAAATTAATTCGAAACTAATACTTTAACTTTTACGTTTTTAACTTTAGTGATTTTAATTTTAAATGTACGCTTTTCCATTGCAAACTTACTCTTATATAAGAGCGAACAATTAAAGTTAAAATCGCTGAAGTTAAAAACTTACCACGGGAAGTGGCATGCAAGTATTTTCGAATTAATTTAATAGCCGATTTTTGTCAATTTTTCACGGATTTTGAAAGTACCTTGCGACATCAAATGCTTGTATCTCCGTAAATATCACATCAATAATTTAATGTTATATATCAAAATCTAAGTTAGCCCTGCTTGTATACAGTGGAGTTTATTTCAACTCAATGGCTTTTATCGTTTTTGAGTTATATTAAGACAAACAGGTAAAGTTTTTTTTGGGACACCCGGTATAATCGTAATTGTTAACGAAATTTTAATTCCTTTTTAAAAAGATTCACCTTACAAAATACTTGCATGCTTTAAAATATAAAAATCTACCCATTTACCTGTTCAAAAACACTCCAAAAACGCTTCAAAATCGTAGATTTTTTACCATCCGTTTGAATCAAGGTTTTCTCTATCCGGAGGCATTTGTTACATTCTCTTACAATTCATCAATTTTACGAGTCAATTTTTCTTTATATTTTCAAGATCATCCAAATGAAAAGTATTATTTAAAAAGAAGTTTTATAATTCAAAATATCAGTTATGCTGACGCGAAACAAAATTTTAATTTAGCCAATCGCACGTTTGCAAACATTTGCTAGTCGTTACCAGTTTTAACTCGTCTTGAACTCACGCATGCGTAACTTACAAAAACGCCCAACGTCCATGACATAATGGCGGACAACTTCGATTTCGCATTTGCATTCCTGTGTGGAATTAGTACCCTCCCGGTTCGGGGATAAATTCCTCAACCTGAATTTTCTATATCTAGGTGGAGCATGTATGTGTGCTTTTATCGTTATCATGGAATTCAGCCCCAGCAAACAACGTGGTAAAGTGGGAACTGCCATGTTCTTTTCTGGACCTGTTGCGTATTCGTTAATTGCTTTATTCGCGTTTTTGAATCGTGATTGGAGATGTCTGATGCTTTTTGGTGCGACATTGGGATTTCCAGTGATGGCTTTTATTTGGTGAGACTTTGTGAATATCATTGATATATCTTCATTAATATAAAAAAAACATCCAAGGCGATAATTGAGGGAGGTGGGTAAATATTGATATATTCTGTTTTGCCCGACGGATTTCTTTTAAAAACGTATATATGCATGTGTGCAAAAGAAATCCGTGGGACAGAAGAAGTACGTGAGTATTTACACATCCCCCCGTCCCCCCACGCAACCATTTCGCCCTTGAAAACATCCGTCGCCATGTACGCAGATATACGCCGGTGATATAATTGAAGAAGCTCCCCAGATTTTGTTAGAGGAACTGCATTTTTAAAACAACGACGATTTCTCAACTGCTGTTGCTTTTGTTTAACCAATTTCACAAAGCACTGTGGTAATAAAACGTGAAGAATATTTAACAATTATTGAATGAGGTTGAACATGATAATAGGAAGAATTATTAAGCCGAGGTTTTCGTTATCATCCGAAGCCAAAGGCTTTGAGATTTTATTCTTTTTTTTAGACAGAACTTTTAAGAAAGAACTAGCTTTTACAACTTTTTTCAATTGAATTTGTGTCGGTTTCACATTCCCTTGGCAATTCCGTTGGATACGACTATTCATCCACGTAATGACGTAATAGCTAGCCTGCATGCATAAAAAATCATATCAAACTTAATTAATGTCGCCACACGTTGGACATGATAATTTCACACATAGTTATCATCTAATCAGATACTGCTGTTTCTTTTAAATCAATAATAATTAACTTTACTAAATGCATTTTTTACAGTAAAAATATCCATTTATGGCATTTTCACGTTCATTTCAAGTCCTATTAATTGACAGCATAGCATCTACTTTTATTACCAACCTTGCATTGTTTACTAGCAGTAGAACACCCTAGATTATAGTCTGTAGTAATTCACTAAATATTTTCAACAAAAAAAATTGAAAATATATAATATAACACAAAACGAACATCATAAATATGAAACTTGACAATTAAAGCAAAGGTCATTAGAAACAGCCTGTCAAATGTTTTTACCACAAAAAGCGAGAAAATGTCAACTCATAATGTTTTCTAAATCACGAAGTGTGACTACGAAGTGTTCTCAAAATGCTCTAAGTGAGCTTTAGTAGTGACTACGAGTACGACTACGAGTACGAGATTCGTCATTCTCGCGCGTTGTTTGCTTACGCCATCAGCCAAAACTCGTAGTCGTTGGGCTTTTGAGTACGAGTTTTTTGGCAAATTTCGTACTCGAAAGCCCAACGACTGCGAGTTTTGGCTGTTGGCGTAAGCAAACAACGCGCGAGAATGACGAATCTCGTACTCGTAGTTGTACTTGTAGTCACTGCTAAAGCTCCCTCTAGTCAGATAGGCGACGGCAACGAGTCTATATATCCATTTAAACTGAGATGGCGGGAAAGGACTCGGACTAGTTATGAAATGGAAATCCAGTTGTTGGTTGAAAAAACCTAATATCTCTTCAAATATACTTTATTACAGAGCTATATAGCTCTTATAACTAAACATAGTGACAAAACTTCGAATATAGTTTCATAGAGAGTAACAAAAGATGTAATCGAATAAATACTGCAGAATGGATTTCTGTTTAGACAAACCTTCTGAGCGCTGATTGGGTGAAAGATGAGCACGAGATCACCTGGTGGCTTCAGAACGAAATATCACGGCGGAAGGCCGGGTACCGTAGTCAAATCTTAAGCTCTGTATAAGTTTTTTTAGTAACGGTCCTGCGAGCAATTTACAATTTTAAATAGGGGAGGCCGTATACGGAGACATCATTCTTTTGCACCTATATTTTAAGGGCTGTTTACATGAGCCCGGTTAGCTGAGTGCGATTCAATGAAGCGTGATATTATTATGTATTAAAATAAGTATTAATGACACCAAACAAGCACGTATGCTACTGTCCGGATGACACCAAATTGCTGATAATCACGGTTTAGAATTTAGAAAGAAGTGATTGTTATTTGGTCTAAAGTATAACAGGGGCTGTGTACATTCAAATGCTTATGTTCAAATACCTGAAAAATATTCAATTTAAAAAAAATGTAGTTAGATATTAGACGAATAATGAATTATGAACTTGCGCTAATCATGTGTTTTGTTTCGGCCCAGCGTATCTAATCTAACTTTTCTCTGATTATAAAAGGTTTGTTCCTGAGACGCCACGGTACCTGTTAGTTCATGGGAGACTTGAGGAAGCTCGAGCTATCCTGAAATTAATAGCAAGGTGGAATAAGAAACAGATGCCCCAGGAAGAAATTCATGTATCGCAGCAAGCGACCGGCGAGAAAGGGAATTTTAGGGACATATTTTATAACAAAACAGTCAGTTTATTAACCATAACAACCTGGTTTTTGTGGTAAGCACAACAGTATCCGTACAATCTGACTTTTACGTCCTTTCGACCAATAAGGTGGCGCACTATGACTTTTCAAATCAATTCTGCAACATGCAATTGAGCTATAAACTCAAAAGTTCGTCTTTTGTTTACAAAAATATCGTCATCACTGCGGTAGCATTCATAAATATGTATACATTAGCATTATATACATATGTAAACACGAAACGTTTCTCGCATTTTTATCAAAACGCCATTGCTAATATGCATGATGATTGAAAATTGTCCTCTAATAACAAGTTTATTTCGAAACATTTCAATATAACTCACAGGTATTCAGATTTCAAATATCGTACGAAGCTTTCTCAATTGTTTTAGCATTATTTCAATAGCTAAAATAGATTATTTAAGAATATTGAATTAATGCGTCGAATAATGAAATCTTCTTGATTTTGGTATTTTCGCAGGTTAACAGTAGCTTTGACGTATTACGCAGTTTCGTATAATGCAGTTTATCTGGGTGGCAATATCTATCTCAGCTTTTTTCTCAACAATATTATTCTATTCCCAGCAAATTATTTGGCAATCGTCGCAATGAAAAAGTAATTATGCAGACATCAGTATAATAAACTAGCATATAATCAGTACACCAAACTTGTATATAGTTGCCAAGAAGACGACCATCCTGAAAATCAGTCTGCTTTGAATTGCAATTTTAATCCCTATCAATCCGAGTTGCATGTGTGTCAATGCAGTATAAGACGTATAAAACATATATTCTGTGGCTTTTCAAAATCCTGTATTCTGATTGGTTGACGAGTGTAAAAACCCATATCCGGACCCTGGTCCGTATATTCGTAACTGGACCAGTATCCCGGATGCCTCATGTAGTTCAGTCATATCATAAACACATTATTGACCTCGCTTGTTCGATCTGTACTGTGAAATATCAGACCGAGGTTTTTGCATGCTAATAAACCAGCCTCGGTCTGTTATTTCATTGTACTGACCTCACGCGCTCGGTCAATAATCGGTTGATTAATACTCTGCACCCCTTGACGACCACTGTTTTCAATTAAGTTGGCGAGTTTCCAGACATAACTAAATGTGTATCCTGGACTTAATTTAGGACTTTCATCTCCTTCATTTTAAGGATTAGTCCTCTTCAAAGAGGAAAAGTGAACTTATCGATTTAGTATTTTATAATTAGCTTAAAAACTCCCCTTTAACACGCCGTCACAGCTAAAGTTTTTTCATGTAGAATTGGACGAAAGAATTCCGTTATTTTTGGACTGTTAATCGCTTCAGTTTCCAATTTGATCACCGCATCAATTCCTGGTGACCGAACCGACACAGGTATTTATGATCGTATTAAAATCAGTGATATCGCTCACGCTAGCCTGATTTTTCTCACTAGTATTTTGTCACTCTCTCTCTCTCTCTTAGAGAACAAGAATTTAGATTGGGTAAATTAATGAACGGCCGGTAATTCATGCTAAAAACATATTCGGGCGAGGTGGCATTAATATTGCCCATTTCTTGTATTCTTAAAAATGTACCTGTAATGCTGTTGAATGAACTAAAGTGTGTCAATGGAAAAATTCCTTATAAGGATTGCGAACAGTGACACCACCTAGAGGGTGTGTGCAGCAATGCCCCCTTAAATTATTTAATTTCACATTCTGACCCCTACCCCATATACCCGTTAGTAGATAACCCCTCCCCCATATAGACATGAAAAGGTGCCGACACAATCGGTGCCATAGTGGGTATAGTACAGTGATCATGTGAACAAAGAAGTCATGATTCACGTGGACAATGACCATGAGGGTACATGTGAACAGGGATCATAGATCATGTGGGATGACGTTTTCCATCACGTGAACAGACATCGAACATGTGTACAGTAGGAAGCATTTAGAGTGTAAATGAGATCATTTACAAGTATTCTAATACAGGGTGTATCAAAAAAAACGCAACCACTTAATATTCATGAATATCCTCTTTGTTCTACAACACAAAAGTCGTTTGGCCCCTGGAATGCGAGAAAGCTTATAATCATATTCTAGCGGCACAATCGTCGGTAAACAAAGTCGGGTGCGTAAACCAACGAGCTGAATTGAAAGTATTTAACGAGTAAAATTTTATTTACAATTTATTTTACAAGGTCGACAGTTAGCATCCAAGTTATCATGCACGACAATAAAAACTCGTTGTTCAGTTGTTAGCTGCACCATTATTAGTTTAGCTGATTTGACCATTAGCAGTTGAACTGTACGATTAGAAGCCATTTTAAAATCCCAGGGGCATAAAATCTATTGAGCTTATGAATTTTAGAATATTAAGTGGTTGCGTTTTTTTTGATACACCCTGTAGGGTATAAAATTTAAAAATACGACCATTCTTGATTCTTACATTGAAAATTTTATTTCACAAATACAAATAAAACAAGAACTAAAGTAATCATGCTACCAAACGTTTGGAGGTGAAATCACGTTTACATAATTAATTTTGATGTCGTGACCATGCGAATTTAGTATAGTGTCAACAGGGCCACGTTTAGGTGTAAATGAGGGGCTTGCAAAATTATATCCATGGAGGGAGCAGGTTGTGGATGCACGTGATGTGATGATCAATGATGCGAAATCCGTTCATTTATATTTCTTTAGCATTATAAATTTGACGGCCAAAGTTTCCGTTACCAATCAACTCTTGCCACGATTAATGGCGATTAATTCAAACAAATGTACTCTGCTGATTTACACAAGATAAAATCTAGGAAGGAATTGTGACCAATGTGATTATAAAATTCATTGAAAAAAATCATCCAAAAATCCTACGGCAACAAATAGAAACTCGCGGTGAATTCGTTGATCACTGTTAAAGAAGAGAAAATGAACAAAGAAAACGTATGGATAGCAATAAATGAAGCGTTCCAAATGGAAAACCATCTTTGGAAACGAGAAGAAAATTTGACATACTTGCGGCTACAGGCAATTTACTCAAGGTTAAAGCGTTGTATTATTTGTTCTGTAAATTGAAATATTCTATGCCAGTATAATTCACATCATTCTATTATTCGATAAAATTTTATAACGCTAACCCTTAATCAAACCTAACCCATACCCTCGATGTTCATTCATCACATAAATTTTGTTGACGTGTATACCCTCATGCTTTTTGCTCACACAATCAATGACCCATGCCCACGTGCAACCTCATGGGCTTTGTCCACGTGAATCGTAATTTTTATTCACGTGAACCTATTGTGTCGGCACCCTTTCATGTCTATATGGGGGGTATCTAATCCTGTTTAAAACGTTTCAAAGATGACACGTCATGATTCGTTTCTCTTCCGTCGCTCATTATTGAACTGCACTTGTTTTGTTTTGTTTTGTTTTGGATAAAAGTTCCCTAATGATTTTTTTGGATCTGTTTTTATCTTATTTTTCGGTGAAATCTTATTTTGTATAAACTTTATAAAACACTTTTATAAAGAGCTTTTGAATTGACAGTTAAATGGCTGACGTTATTATTTGAATAAATCATTTGTTGTCTTTCCTCGATCAAATTCGGCGCATGCGCATAATTAACAAAATAATCGAAGATCCAAGAATTTGGACGACTTAAAATACCAAAGTGTTCTGTCAGTCTGTCACACGCCCCGGTGTAATTCCTAATGTGTGGAATTAGCATACTCGCACGGCGCTCCGTGGCGGCTGGAGGATAACGTAGTTTATGTCGACATGTCATTTTATTGAATTTATTTCATTGCTTATAGGTTTTACAGCAGGTAGAATAACAGCTTCAATGATTGCCAAAGGATCAATTAGTGTTTCGTTATGCGGTATATATCTACTGGGGGCAGAAGTGTTTCCAACAACCGTTAGGTATATGCGCCGAATATATATAGATTACATAATCTAAATTTTACAGCTGAGTCAAGCAGTTCATGTTCCTTTAAAGTGTTCACTACATAAGGCTCGAGTTTCTGCATTATATATATATATATATATATATATATATATATATATATATATACGCAAATTTGGATCTGTGCGTAGTAAATCAGAGTGCTCAATACCAATACAATAGTAGAGCAAATAAATCAACAAATTACAATCTTAAAATTTTAAAATTTTTTTTAAAATTTTATTTCGCTACACTGTGTTTCACGTACTTCTACCGTGTACGATCATCAGGCGATTACTAACACGCAATTAAGATGTAACGGTTATGCACACGCGTTTCTGATTGTTAACGCAAGCGCTTAAATGTACCAGTTTGCGCGCGCTTAACATAACAGGCCTTAAAGCCAAATCTATGTCGGCATCTACTGAATATTTCAGATCTTTTGTTCAACGACTCTTCTTTATTAGATAACATGATAAGCCTTTTTTCCTCAATACACAGCGGGCAAACATTCATTCCGGGGTTCGCCGAGGGAACTTGTTTCATTATCGACCATTTTATTTGGAATGGTTCGTGTTGCGCTTTAAGCTTCCAAATATATTCATATCATTGGTCGTCATTATTATATATTTTATTTCGGCGAAATAAAATTTTAAAAAAAATTTTAAGATTGTAATTTGTTGATATATATATATATATATATATATATATATTAATATTATATATTATATATATATATATTATTATATATATATATACACCCATTTGCAAAAACGTTGGCCGCAGATAGATATATAGATAGATACTCGAAATCTAATTAGAATTGCATATGTTGTGTAATATTATAGAAATCCCATGCAAATGTAATCGTATGCAATTCTAATTAGACTTCGAGTATCTATCTATCTATCTGCGGCCAACGTTTTTGCAAATGGGTATATATATATATATATATATTAATTATATATATATATAATATATGTTTCGAGTGTTCAACTGAAATGACTGCAATTGCAGTTCGAATATTGACGCCAGCAAAATTGCATAGCATGGTGATTTAAACATGGCTTCCCACAAATTAATAATCGACACCAGTCCAAACACTTCTATATTTCAATTTTCTAATTTTTAATTTGTTTATTCAGAAATATTGCTATGGGAACAGCATCTGCGTGTGGTCGGATAGGATCGTTCGTTGCTCTCTACATAATTTGGTTGGTAAGTCAACAATTTAACGCATCAAATGCCGTTATAGGCGTAAAAACCAAGTTTGCCAAATAGAAAACAAACTGACTTTGGGATGACAAACCGCCCTCAGTGTTCTGTTTTGGCTTTTTGGTGAAAATTGTTCACGTTTAAACAGCCTAATTAATATGCTCTGTATATAGGCTTAAAACAGCCTTTCTAGAATTTCTGCAAGATGGTGTAGAAAGTTGGAATTCCGACCCCATATATTAGTGTTAGTATTATTATTATGATTGTTAATTCATTATATGGCAAGCTGGGCAAGCGTCACTTCCGGTGAAATGGAGCTCAGTGATTGGCTGAGAAGAATTTTGAGTGCATGGTTCATTACTTTCCCGTAATGGACCGGCGTTACCGGCGAAATTTTGAATGAAAAAAGGAACAATTAAATGCTCAAGACAAAATTTAATTATTTCTCGGTAAAGACCTCGCGCTCGGTTAATAAGAAGTTATTAATTGATCTGCCAATCTGTTGGCTGAAGTCAATGGCATACCTTGCACGTTGATAAATGACTGAATCGCGTTGACTTTACTGTTTACTGCTTCAAAATGAATAAACAAGCATTCCGTGTCGATTTAATATTCGTTCACATGTTCGATGTATTTCCTTCGTCTTTCAAAGGGAGATCATCACTAAGCTGTATTATGTCATCTTTGACCAACACACCATTTTTCTCTTTGAACGTCATGGTATTAAGCTTACCCTGGCACCAAATAATTGTAAGGTCTGAAGCTGATACGTCAGATTGTTTAGAATTGTCATTAGACAGACTCCAAACACCTTGTTGTCAAAGAGCGGTTTTCACCAAAACTTGCATATCACAGTAAGTTCCACACCATTTCAACCGTTTCCCATCGTAGAAAATAATTTTCGATAGCACTGTTTTTCATATCTTATAAAAATCACTTACAACCTCGAGACTATCGACATTCAAGTTGTTGATATTCTCCACACCGCCGACCGCCATGTTTAAATTAAAGTGTATATAAATATATAAAATAGTTAGGAATTAGCGATCCATTTTGTTTATATATATTTATGAAATAAGTGGTAAGTTGCGACCAACGAAGTATTCATATCTGATCACTGCATGTTTACATTGAACTGGAAAGTTAGTAAACGTGAACAAATTTAGAATTTTTTTTTTTCTAAAATTTTTCTTCCGAAACATTCACTTTAGGTCATTGCTATTTTATAGATTAATTTTTAATGCAAAACTGTTTCTCAATTTATCCTTTAATAACTGGTCTTTCTACGCGTTAAAAACGACTTTGTTTTTTACAGAGAATAAATATAAAAATAAATAAATATTTTTTTCTACAAAAATAAAGTCGTTTTTAAAGCGTATAGAAACACGAGTTATTTAAGAATTTACCTTAAAAAATTTAGAAACAATGTAAAGTCTTTGGATTGTATCTCAAGCTTTTGTTTTTTTCGTCCGTTTGTAGCAACGCATCCATCGATATGTCCCGCATGTTATTCTGGGTACCATGTGCTTAATCTGTGGGATCACGTGTTATATTTTAATACCCGAAACGAAGAAAGCAACTACACCAGAAGTTTTCATGTCCAAATCCAAAGAAAATTTAGAAATGAACAATGGTCATGAACATAAGCTACTGGATGATTGTTAAGACAACGGAATTAGAACACTTTCTAAATTCTCTCACTGTTTCAAATATCTATTTTATTGTTCATAAAATTATCTATTTTATTATTCTTGAATTATGTAATGATAATGTGTCAGCTAACATCTTTTTAATGAACAGTACGTACACCACTACACCTTAAAATTACTAGCCCTAAAATGGTAGCTTAATTTATATTGTAGGTCTATACCGATTTCTGTTAAATTACATAATTATTTATATGAACAACACAATTATTTGGCGAATACTTTCCACCTTTACAAGGCTTTTTCGGCTAAGAAAATCCAATCATGTATGGACAATGATTCAATATATTTCAACGGTGTAACTATCACTCCACTTATCGTAGCATGAGCAGTGTAGGCCTCTGATGTCATTTTTCTTGAACCTTCGTCCTTGACAGCAGCAATCACTAATTTGCTGAAAGAATTAAGTAATGAAATTTGTGGTATCAACTATTTATATCCATACATTCATATTTGTAGCCATAAGCATTAAAAACAAAATCAGTCGGGCATAAGATGAGTGTATGAATATGCGTCCCCTAACACAGTTTCTAAAGACGGCCTTGGCGAGCATTGGCGTAACTAGAACGATAATTGGGGGTGAATATTCATATACACAGTTCTGCCCGACGGATTTAAGCTACTGCAATTGCAAAAGAAATCCGTAGGGCAGAACTGGATGTATGAATATTCACCCCCCCCCCCCCAATTATCGTTGTAGTTACGCCACTGCTGGCGAGAGACATGTCGTTACATTATGGATGTATCCTTTTTGTAGAAACGTTTTTATGGGTTACAATATGTACAGTAACACGTTTGCTGGAACTGGACAGATCTAATATTATCTAAAAATTAGTCGTCGCTAGCTGAGACTCTTTTTTATTATTATGATGGGTAAGATAATTACATTTTCCCTTTTAAGTACAACAGTCAAAATTCAACAACGAATATTCGGAAATATTTGTTAACATGCAGAACCTGGATTTGTGAAAAATTTTTGCCCTGCAGATCAGTAATTCAATATGGTTTTACGTATCAACATTTGATTTGATTCATGGTTGCATTTTTGAGTGTTTCAAAAGTATTGCGATTAAGAGTCGTGAGTATTGAATGTCGGTAATTTGAACATGTGCTGTTGTTCTTATGAGTTGGTATAGTCAGTACTGACCTTTATAGGTCACCTGACAGGCACCAAGAGAGAGAGAGACGTTCAACAGCAAGTCGTGAGATGGAACGACACAAAAAAACGATATATTTTTGCATTATTCTTGCATTGCTTGGCAATGTAAACTGCGTCCTGAGAACCTACTATATTGCAGCTGTAGAAGAAAAGTGGAACTATGCTCCGACGGGAGTAAATCAACTAACTGGCGTCTTGTTGGACGAAGATGAGTAAGTTTTGTTTCTAGTCAATATTCGCAAGTATACGCAAGTAGAATTGAAACTGACCTTGAAATATAAAAGCTTAAAACGGCAAAATTTGGCCATTGTGATGCGCAAGCTAACGATAGTCGTAGATCTCTCATCCCAAACACAAGATATCTAATATTTATATAAACATATACTAGAATAATATTTATGTACCAATATATTCGCTTCCGTTTCGTTAATCGTCGCGTATCTAACGCGCATGCATGCAATAGCTGCGCAAAGAACATTTCAACCTATATGATTGCAAATCTACACGATCACGTTCATCATACTGATTATTAGTGAGTATAGTAAGCTTGACTACGGCAGCGATTCACCAAAAAGTAGTTTTTCTAATTACGAAAGCAAGATATTATGATTTTATGACTAATTCCAGCTTACATTTTTATAAGTTCTAATTAAAAATGAGCTTGAAAGAGAAATCCCATATTCACAATAATTAAAATGGTGGGAGGATTTTTGTATGCTTTTCTGAATAGTTCCTCAAATATTTGACTTCCGCGGAGAGCGCCCGCTTGCTTTAAACGCGCTGAAACGCTCGACGATATCAACTTCCTCATCTCCGCGTCATCAACGAATACTGTTGCATTCGTTAGGTGATCTAATATTGCATGATGTAAAAATAGTCTTTGGCCGAAAATCAAACAATAATTGCCGGTAGAAGTGTGGTATACACTAATACACGATCTCTTAGAGCTTCAATTTAAAGCGTCTACGCGTGGATTAAGGTATCATGTAGCGATGGGTTTACAGCTAGGTCTTTTGATACAATATTCAAATGCGTGATTTAAATGCGAGTGCATGCATGGGCATTAATCTATTGGGCAATAAATCTATTATCTCTACTCAGCACAAGTTTGCAAAACATTTTGACGAAAAGTTAAAACGAATACTGAGACGAGTTTTCAGGCAATGCCTCCATGCACTGTGTATTTCAAAAGAATGTAGCCCTTTATATTATACCACTTGCAATCAGTGTACATGCATGTGTGTGAAGCTCGCCAGGTATGCTGGGTGCATGATTTTGACAGAAATTGAGTCGGCAAACCTTAATATGGCCAGAAATGCAGGCCTGTAAGCGATGAGGTGTGTGTGCTCATATGGTTCAGTTGTCACTGCATTATTTTAGATCAGTGTCGCTTGTATCATAGCAACAGAAAAAGAAAATAATGGCGATCAAAAATCACTCTACTAAATTAATGTATTTCATCGCGTTGGGGAACACATTTACGCGTCTTTTTAAGCTTTTTAAATGCGATATAAATATAGCTAGAGCCTTTATGAACCAGCTCTGTCGTAGACATTTTCCGATGCCTGCCAACAACGAGCAATTGGAGCTGTAAGGTACCTAATATGCCCAAAGTATACACTTTCTAATATACAATTTCAATCCTCAAATTTTCAGTAGTTAAAGATCAATAAAATTGATGATGTTTTCGACGTGAACAAACATGACTTCTCAATTGTGGCTTACATAAAAAGCAAATTTTAATAATTCCCCAATAAATTCTTATACGGGACCCCATGTTGGATTTTTAAATTACCGCTAAATAACGCATGTTTGGCAGTTGGCATCCATATTGGCCTGCATTTCTGGCCATCGGCGTTGCTTGGCAAAATTCCGTTCACATACTACCTGTAACAAAGCGTTACCGCTGCACTATCTTGCAATTTTGCAGAGTCTTAGAAATTAAATAATTATCAAAAATAAGTAGCTAATAATTTTTTTTCTCGAATCCTTCTCCCTAAAAGGAGCATTAAAATGGAGATTGATATGTTTTTTTCTCTCAAAAGAGCTGCTTCGGTATTCACAGTGAATGACCCGACAAAGACAATCGGACGGGAATATAACAAAGTGTTATATCGGGGGTGCACCAGTCGGTCTTGCTCAAAATTCAAAGACCATCCTCCATATCTAGGCGTCCTGGGCCCTGTCATTCGCGCTGAAGTTGGAGATATTATAAAAGTATATTTCAAAAATCTTGCAAGCAGAAATTACAGCATTCATCCGCATGGTGTATTCTACCAGAAGAACTCTGAAGGAGCTTTGTATGAGGTCAGTATGACAGACCGGAAAAAGGTACAGATTTTGCAAGCAGCTGGTTCTCCAACACACTCAAGAATATTTAAAACAAACAATGAATGGCGGATATTTCGGCTATCATCGATAGTTTAGGTATTGAACGGTTGCGAAGCTGTTTTCGCTGCTACAGGAACCCGCTATAGCGATCTGACCACTGAGCTTAACACTGTATTACTAATGTTACACTGGGTACAGTTCTATCCAAAATGTTTGTAAATAATTTATTTTCAGTTAGTATAAATATGGATAGAATTTATTTCATAGCTCGGCAGAATTAATGTACAGTAATTTAGCACTAAAATTCGAACTAAAGCCATCAAAAATATTAAATGCATTGTCCCTATTCCTGCGCAGTCATACCAATTATATATCAGCTTGTCGTCTTTCTCGGCCATTTGCCAGCTTTATGTTAGCTGGTGATAACACCTGCTGGATTTTAATTGTCGCACTTTAATCTATTTCATTGATTCATCGTAATCATCTCTGAACAATCTCAAACCTCGCCTTCCTTTAGACTTTTCAGTTTGATAGTTATGAGTTTCAGATATGGGTTTTTTGTTTCGCTACTTCAATATCCTTAATATGATATTTTGACCGAACCATATTAAACAATATATTCATATTTTGGTAGTTGGGTAGCTTCTTGTAGTTTGTCACTGCTTGCATTTCTATTCAGGACGGAACTCGTGGTCGTGATAAGTCAGATGACGCGGTGCCTCCAAATGCCTCATATACTTACACTTGGAAAGTAAGGAAGGAGCATGGACCTACGGCGAGTGATTCAGATTGTTTGACCTGGGTCTATCATTCACATGTTCATCCTCAGAAAGACGTCAACACTGGCCTCGTAGGTACGTGTCTCACATAATCTAAACAGCTCTTCTCCGCTATAGGATAACTCTCTGCTAGTGCCTGTTTCATTCACGTTATAGTTCGCAATACGGCTGCTCTGTGTTTTTAGGTGCCATGCTTATTTGTAAGAAGGGAACGTTCAAGCACAACAAACACAAAAATATCGACAAAGATTTCGTGATTATGTTCACTGTTATGGATGAAAACGAAAGTTGGTTATTAGAAAGAAATATCGCAGAATATTGCCCGCAGTTCAGTTCGTCAATAGATGACGAAGATTTCCAAGAGAGCAACAAAATGCACGTAATCAATGGATACTTCTATGGTAACACACCGGGGCTTAAGATGTGCACTGGAGATAAGGTAGATTGGCATTTGTTTGGCATGGGGACGGAAGTGGATATACATACAGGTGAGTCGATCGCGTATCCTAGTTTAGCCTATGTGTCCTAATTTATCCTTACAATGTTTAAATCTCTTTAAATTTTCAGCTTTCTTTCATGGTCAGACAGTTCAAATTGACGGTCATCGTAAAGACGTTGGTTCCATGTTTCCTGCCAGATCAAGCACTGCTCATATGACCGCAATAAAACCAGGTGTATGGCTGTTTAATTGCCTGGTCAATGACCACTACTCAGCTGGAATGTCCGCTTTATTCAATGTAACAAACTGTGAAAAAAATTACCCAGGAAGGGAAGCGCTGAGTGGTAAAACAAGAAAATATTTCATAGCTGCAGAGGAAGTCATTTGGGATTATGCGCCCTCCGGAATGGACAATTTTAATGGTGGGAATTTGACAAGTGAAGACAGGTGAGTTTCATAGACCAATTCGTGGCCCAATTAATGGGTTCTAATCTCTGCTGTGGATACCTATTCGCTTGGTAATTGATGTATTTCGACCTTAATGATTAAGAGGAGATTTTTTATCATGTCGTGTATTTTTGGCGGAAGACGTTCAAAATATAAAACATTTTCGGCGTACCACTCAAAATTATTTATTCTTTAGATTATGTTGCGAACTAAGTTTTGAACTGCATGCATTTGGTGATTGCAAAACACCAAACGACAAGAGTTGTTTCAAAATATTATAATGCGGCTATCAGCAATGTTTTAAATGTCAACACCATTATAACTGAAATGAATACAAAAGTAGCTTCGATTCAAATGTCATTTTCATTCTCGTTCCAAAACATTTTCAATGTTGAAAATTTTAGTACTGTTGCATGAAGATATAAATGAGGTTTTGAGCATAATTATATTACGCGGCATACAGTAGAAAAATATCTTCAATTGACTATGCAGGTTCAAATTTACGAGGAAGCTCAACCCTGAAGAAATTATGCGTCATTCGTTCATTTTTTTTTTCATAGCAAAGGTCATGAATTTTTTGCAAAGTCCGATAGCTCCATCGGTGGAAGATACTGGAAAGCATTATTCTTTGAATATACAAACGACAGATTTATAGAGAGGAAAGAAAAGCCTAATCACTTAGGGTTTTTGGGCCCGATTATCAGAGCTGAAGTTGGGGACACAATACAAGTAACTTTTAAGAACATGGTATGTTACATATGAACTTTCAGTCTCTTCGATGACTGTGTCAACATCACGATTTGTTACAAGATTAGGTTTCGCGAAAGCTGACGTTTTCTTTTCATTTGTAGTTACTAAGATTCACTGTTAAATTTCATATTAAATTCTTTTTAGGCTTCATATAACTTCAGCATCCAACCTCATGGTGTAATATACGACAAATCAAATGAAGGTTCAATGTATAAAGATGGCACATCAAATTCAGCTAAACGTGATGATTCGGTTAGACCAAACGACGTCTTCGTCTATACCTGGACAATTCCAAAACACGTTGGACCAACAAAAGACGACCCGAATTGTCTAACCTGGGTTTATTCTTCTGCTGTAGATCCAATTAAAGATGTGTATTCTGGTAAAATAATATCATCATACACTCATACGACATGGCACTTAAGGGTTGACAGTATAACAGCTTATATCACCTACCGTAGGTTTAATCGGACCACTCTTGGTTTGCAAGAAAGGATCTTTGGATGCAGAAGGAAAACAGAAAAGCATTAGCAAGGAATTCTTTTTAATGTTCACTGTTTCAAATGAGAATGAAGCTTGGTATATTGAAAAGAATGTAAATGAATTTATCGGCGGAGAAGCAGCGAAATCATTTGCTTATGGTAAGTCGAAATCTTTCATTTTGAGTAGGTAAAAGCCAATGCAGATACCAGAAATATTTGAATGTTATATTTCTATAAATCGCTTGTGTTACCTATCGTACTGGAGCGTTAATCTATTTTAAATCTTTTCACCATGGAATAATAGTACTTCATGTTGTTAGAAAATCAGGAATTTTATCATTTTACTGTACAATTCATCTACATAAAAACTGCCCATTGTCCACAGATCCGGAGATAGAGAACAACTTGATGCACGGGATTAATGGCTTCCTCTTTGCTAACCTACCTGGTCTTGAAATGTGTCTGAATGATGACGTATCCTGGCATCTCATTGGTTATGGTAACGAAGTTGATATTCATGGCGCGTATTTTCATGGTCAGACATTTTTAATGAATAAAAATCGTAAAGATGCCGTGAATTTAATACCCGGTGAGTAAATTTAATTGAAATTCTAGTCAAAAGAAATATGCAATTGCAGTATTTTGGGCTAAATAGATATTCGGCGTGCGCGATTGGTAATAAACTCCGTGTTTCTTTTAGGAACGTTCGAGACAGTGAAAATGAAACCAGATAACCCTGGTGAATGGGCAGTTGTTTGTCGTACCAATGACCATTACGACGCTGGGATGGTGGCAAAGTTTCGAGTGAATACTTGTAACAAGGTTCCTTCCTATTCCGAATCCAGGAAAACTAGAACATACTACATATCAGCCATTGAAGAAAAGTGGGATTATGGTCCCAGTGGAAAGAACGAAATAGAAGGAACAGATTTAGACAAGGATAAGTAAGTTTCTGAGGAACATAATAAATAATTGAAAAATAAGTAATAGCCAGTATTAGTGTAGGTGTGGAAATATTTGAGGCCAAATTGCCATCAGCGCTATCGAAAAAACAAAGGGCCAAGGCAAAGAAAACAAAGAACTAGTGTGATATTGTTTGGCCTCAAATATGCAACAATTTATCAACCCTTCTAATCAGCTCTATTTCGAAAATATTGTTACTGCCATAGGCGTAAAAATATCGCCTTCGAACTTTTTAAACACTCGTATATTGAGACCAAAGCTAAACACCCTCTTGCAGAGATGCAATGGAATATGCCAAGTCTGGGCAAACAAGAATAGGACGTGTTTATCATAAAGCACTTTATCGTGAATACACCGATGATACCTTCACAACGAGGAAAGAAAGTCCTGAGTATCTCGGATTTCTTGGGCCGATATTGCGAGCTGAAGTTGGGGAGTCGATAAGAGTTGTTTTCAAAAATCAGGCATCTAGAAAATTTTCTGTTCATCCTCATGGAGTGTTTTATGAGTAAGTATTAACAATTTAATAGTCATGAACTACCACTATATAATACAGGACGCCATTTCTTTTATCTGATTTGCAAATTTGTCTGATTAAGAAGAATGGTGGTTGTGTGATCCAGGCACCTGCATTTGTTAATCAGAATTCCCATCATTTTTGGCCTATCGACTACAGCAACCAATAAAAATTTACTGAAGAAAATTATTTTAAGAAAGTTACACTAGTTTTATAAGAGTGCTTTTAAATAGAATGAAACGAATTTTCATGCCAGGACTACTAAAACTCGAAATAATGAATAAATCCTAATGATTTTTTTTAATGTTAGCAAAGAGAACGAAGGAGCATTGTATATTGATGACACAACATTGAAAGATGACGATGCAGTTCTCCCAGGTCAAACGTATATCTACACATGGAAAGTCCCTGCCAGAGCCGGGCCTACGTCCAGTGATAATGATTGTTTATCATGGATGTATTACAGTCATGTCGAGCCGTCGAAGGATACAAATTCAGGTCTTGTAGGTCCTTTGATCATATGTAGAAAGGTGAGTTTTTAAGACAAGTACTTCTAAAGAAGGTTAACTTTTCCAACTCTCTATTAATCGCTTTGAATCATTTTGTTCTTCTATTTGCCCTAGTTGCTCTTCTATTCGCCCAGGAAATAGTTTCATTCAGAATTCTCAATTCCAGGGCACTCTTTCAGAGGATGGATCTCGGGCAAAGAATGCCGATCATGAATATCCAGTCTATTTCAGCGTTGTCGATGAAAACTTGAGTTGGTATTTGGACAAAAATATCGAAGAGTTCACCAACGATCCCGTTGATAAGGAGGACGAAGATTTTATTGAAAGCAATAAGATGAACGGAATTAATGGTCGTATTTACGGTAACCTAGATGGACTTGAAATGGTAAAAGGGCAAAATATCTTTTGGTATCTTCTTAGCCTTGGAACAGAAGTTGATATGCACAACGTTCATTTTCATGGCCAGACAGTTTTAGCTGTAAGTTAAATTTGATATTATATATTATGACAGTGGCTCCGTTGTGTTTTAGAGTTTGAAAAAAGATGAAAAATTGGCTTTAATTTCTGCAGAGAACCACCGCCGAGCACAGAGAAGATGTTGTTGACTTATTCCCTGGAGTTTTTATGACGGTCAAGATGATACCAGACAGTATTGGAAAATGGTTGTTACATTGTCACGTGAACGATCACATGGTTCATGGAATGCAAGTTTTTTATGATGTCAAAGGTCCGTTTTAAACCGTGCTATTTTCTTGAATCTCCTATAGCCTATAACATTTTCGAGCTTTAGAGTATAGCAAAGTCAGCATCGGCAATTACATGCATAGGTTCACCTGAGCAGCTAGAGTTACAATTTATACTGTGGTAATCCAGTGTTATTGGGTTGTTGTTTATTGGGATGTTGTATATACAAATGAACCTACATAGATTGTTGTAATATAGGTTACGAATCAATTTGTCATCAATAACTATTTCGGACAAAAAGGGTCGAAGCGAGGTAAAAACTGCATAAATTGTAATGAAAGACTAATCAGGTTAAGCCTTTGATGTGTTGCGCTTTTTACCTCGCTTAGCTGGGATAACTCGCTCCAATTCTAAATACTGTAAACAGGCCCTAAAGTTCACGATACGTTACTATACGATACGCACGAGAATGACGAATCTCGTACTCATATACTCGTACTCGTAGTCGCTGCTAAAACTCCATCACATCAATGAACACAAAGGAATTGTAACAATATTCCCAAAAAGAGAATTGAAAACCCCAAATTTGATAAAATCAGCTTGTCCGTTATACATTTGCCAAAATAGTTGGCAATAAAGAACACCACGTGTACTCGGTTCTACATTAGTGCAAAGGCCGGGTTTACGGCGAAAGCTCTGCACAAATACACGTAGTGTTCCTATAAACTGGTGATGGTTTAAATTTGCTGCATGTGCATAATCACAAGATTATTATTGATTTATATTTAGGATTTACTTAGCTATTCTGTTTAACTAATGGTATATAATGGTCTATATTTCATTTTTTAGAAAAACGGGACAAATGATCGAAAAAAAGCATCACCATTGACCGGAACCTGGGTGTTAAACAAAATTTATTGCTTTCTCCTTTTTTTCTTTTCTATATGCTTTAGCGTTTGATTATTATATCCCTTAAATAGGAGCATGAATGTATCACTGTAGTCGAATGAATCACTGATGGCAAAAGTATCTCAAATACTCTTGCTATAATTCATACTGAGACCGTGGCTTGGCATGGTAGTTAATTTAGCAATATAGTTTCGTACATTAAAGTTGAAATTTGAAACGTAAAAAAACTGATTATTTCGAGAGTATATGTAGTATTAGGGAATATTTTAATAAACCACGACATGCAAAGAAGTATGGAATAAATAATTTTTATACCGGGAAAATGACGTGTACTTATTTGGAATTACCATAAGGGCTAGCGTACGTCAGACTATATGAGTCGAGTCAGGGGCCGCGGAAAATCGTTGTGTGTGGGGGGGGGGTGATATCATGTATTCTTGGTAGTGGACCGTAAAAACATCAATTTGAAAATAAACTAATAATATTGAACGTGAATATGTGATTGAATATTAGCACATATCAATATTCTCTCCAAACGAATAACACTCCGTATTATTCCACACTCCGTACACGCTGTAAATCAAGTCATATATAAGGTCGTATAAAGCCATGATGTGTCCATAAAAACATTCTCGGTACCTTCTCTAAAACTACCTGTAGATAATTATTCAGCATTAAACGCTGCTTTTCAAAAAGGGGGTTGTTCTTTCGCGGGGAAATCATGCATACGCATACCAATTTTACGCGATATTGATCTAGCAAAGGAGCAACCAAGTCGTCAATGCGTGAACCGACTGTTTCGGGCCTTAAGGCGGACAAATCGTTCGTGCCTATCACCAAAATAACAATATCTCGGGCACACCGAGAAACTATGCCTAAATCAAATTTGCGGATCTTCTCCACTGTTCTACCCACTACACCGTGTAGAGAAATTATCTCTCGCTGTGCCCTTCAGATTAAAGGTTGGGCAAATGCGAATATCCCGTTTACGTTTCAGGTCGCACGGTAGGCGACGAACAAATGAGTATCGCAGGACCAAAACTTTTGGGGGTACCATTGTGTATACGTAGCTACTATGTATATATGTATATCAATATATAATTATATAGAAAAACAAGCAAAACACTTCTGTAAATACCTTTCAACTTTAAAAAAGCTCTGTCTTTTGCGATGTCACGCTTAAACTGACCGTTTGTGGCTTGGGTATTCGGTTGTTGTTAGTTTTCGATTTGCTACTGCCTACTGGCCATTGACCACCTTTCCCATATTGCGTGCCATTCATTTCCTGTCGGTCTTTTAGATAGGACGCCAAGCCCATCATATAAGATTTTTAATTATCGTCGGCAAGGCGTATCCCCTTGGGAGGTACACCTTGCCTTATAGTAGTCTATTAATTTATAAAATCACATTACATAAATTTCTTATTTCCTTCGTATTCTGATTTAAACCACCTTGAACCTAAAGTTGTCCTCGCTCTGTGATTTAAAAATTCTTAGCAAATATATCAAGCTAAAGAACGCTTTAAAAAACAAAAGCCTAGTGTTATATCAATAAAAATTTCCTGAGCCTCTGCTCCTTGAGCAAAAAGGATTCCTTTCAATTGACATTTATTCTATGAAACTATATCTCAAATAAGTAAAGTTGACAATGTCATGTAACACTTCAGACAACAATATACTGATTATGCATTTTACTACAATCATTATTGTTTAAATTTATTTACAAACAGGTGCCCTTTAGAGCTTTCGAAACATATGTTTTCCCATGGGCCAAAATTTGTGCACTATATAATGCACGTAAAAAAGACAAATGACATAATTACGTTCCATATATCTACAAATTTCCCTCATTGTCTGCACCCTATACAGAATTGATATTGGCGGTCTATAAAATAATATCTCGCTTCCTTTCATACATTGCATTTGTTTTAATTAAGAAGCAATATAATTTTGCAATTAAACGAAACTTACCTGGAAGTTGAAGTTTGATTGGAATTCTAAGTTGTCATCAGTCAGGAACGAAGGAGTCACATGAGATGCGCATGCGTCTTGCCAATCAGTCTTCATCGTGAGGGGTGTAGAAAACTCAGGAACGAAGGAATTTGGGCGGCGTGGGTATACATTTCACGGGCATGTGACTCCTTCGTTCCTGACTGATGACAACTTAGAATTCCAATCAAACTTCAACTTCCAGGTAAGTTTCGTTTAATTGCAAGATTCTATTTTGTCATCAGTCTACGTCACTACAGAGTCACATGAGATTTCAAAGTTCTACGCACACGAACTATACTCGTAACCGAGTATTTATTTAATCTTAACATAACATGAACATCAAAGATTTATGTTAACAACTTAAAGTGATAAATTTTCTACGACAGTTTGTCCAAAATTAGATTGTTCTAATGGTTTACCATAAAACCGTGCAAACGTTCCACTATTCGACCAACCAGCAGACTTCATGATTGTCACCATATCTAATCCTTTTCGATGACAAAACGATGTCGAGGCAGCTCCGCTGCTATGTGCACCATATACATCCGTATTAATACCAGACGATTTAAGAACTTCCCGGACCCACCTGGCCACTGTATCCTTCGAGATAGAACGGTGTGGTTTAACATAGCTAATTAATAACTGCGTATGCTTATCCCTCAATTTTGCAGTCCTTTCGATATATTCGTCCAAATGTTGTACGACACATAATCCGGGGTCTTCATCGAAGGCCATCAGTTCGATAGGATCGATATGCTTACCACTCTTGGTTTGTTTCAACTTCTGCTGTATCGTGATCCGGTATCGGTCAGTCATTTTTTGCATGTATTTTATATCCATGCTATGCACAGTTTGGCACCTCTGGCCAGTCAATAAACACAACAACATTGTTAGCTTCAAGGTAAGCTGTTTCAGTGATAACGCCGCGGGAATCCCTTGGTTCTTTAGATAATTCAAGACAACATTAACGTCCCAAATCTCAGAGTATCTAGGTAGCGCCGGCCTCAGTTCAAATATTCCTTTCATTGTTCGGCTAACGAGAGGGTGATCCCCAAATGTCACTCCATTTTCCATTGGCAATATCGTTGATAAGGCAGAGCGAGCTGTATTAATCGCACTGTAGCTTAACCCCGATGCATAAAGCGATCCCAAGAACTCAACAGCATGCATTACACCCGGACAAAACATATCCACCCCTTCATTATCACAATACGTTTTCCACTTGGTTAAATAGATAGAGTATTGTTTGGCCGTTCCTGTGCGCCAAGAGGCCATTACTATATCCGTCGTACTGGAAGTAAGTCCATGTCGTTTTATCCTTTCCCTGATAATAGAACTACCAGTAGGTTTAGCTTTTGATGTAGTGGATGTTGTTCCGTGGGGTGGCTGGGTAAGGTCAGCAATCTGTCCGTTGCCTTTAGACGTACAGGTTCTCGCTCTCGCATTTGCATAGCCATAGGATACCAACCCTGAGTGGGCCAGTCTGGAATCACACAAACTCCTCGCGCCTTGTCCATTCTTATTTTGCTTAACATTGATGAAATAACACTAAATGGTGGAAATGCGTAAAAATTTAATGTTGACCAGTCCATGCTAAATGCATCAATCGTGACAGCATTCGGATCTGGTTTGTAGGACACATATTTTGGGAACTGGTGATTAATGCGTGAAGCAAACAGATCAATATCTGGGTGAAATCTAAGTTCATTCAATGCTTTGTTTAGACTACTAGTGTTTAGTTTCCATTCCGAGGCAGTCTGGTTGCGTCTTGACTCAAAATCTGCAACCAGGTTTTGTTTTCCTGGAATGTGTACAACACTAATCCATATTCCTCTTGCAATGCACCATTCCCAAATTTTATGTCCTAAATTATTACAAACATCTGAATGGCTAGTGCCCATATTGTTGAGGACACTTATCGCGGTAGTATTGTCTGTCCTTATCCTGATATGGACTTGGGATCTTTCTTTTGCAAACGTCTTAAGACCCAAAAGAATGGCAAACATCTCCAAATAATTTATGTGATGTTCTGCCTCAATATGAGTCCAATTTCCCCCGGATGATACACCATTACATGTTGCACCCCACCCTAGTTTTGAAGCATCAGTGGTAATTGTTGGGACAGGTAAACCATGGCTCAAAGGCTTAAAGGAAGTGAGTACATTCCGTACCCACCAATCTAATTCTATTCTCGCTTCAGCAGAGAATGTCATAATAGCATCAAAATTACCCTGATTTTGCTTCAAAGCTAGAGTTTTATCATGCTCAAGGTGTCTATAGTAAAGGGGTCCATAAAGGACTCCAGGGAAACTGGACACAATCTTCCCTATGATTTTGGCAGCATCCCTAATAGTTAAGCATTTTTGTTTGAGCAGTTTTGTGCAGTCCTTCTGCAGCTGGGAAGCTTTCTGAGGTGTTAATCTCACAATCATTGTGACAGAGTTTAAAATAAACCCCAGAACCACAATTTCCTGGCTAGGTATCAAGCAGGATTTTGTTGGATGAACAATAAAGCCCACTTTATCTAATAATACTACTGTGTCCACAACATTATGTACACATAGGTTATATGTTTGACCCTGAAGGTACAAATCGTCAATATGTGCCACAGAAATATGGTTCTGTTTATGTAAATAAGCCAGAAGTGGTTTAAGAATTTTAGTGAATTTTCTTGGGCAACAAGAAAGACCATTTGGTAAACAGGTGAACTCATATGTCCTGCCATCCCATTCAAACCGTAAATATTTTCTATCAGAAGCATGAATAGGTATTGAATAATACGCGTCCTTCAAATCAATACAGGCCATATAACAATTTTTTACCATGAGCTTGGTTATAGTGTTTAGGGAATCCATTTTGAAATGGTGATAGGTCACATACTTGTTAAATTCTTTCAGGTTAAGTATTAACCTAAATGAACCATCCTTTTTTGGATGTAAAAATATACCTGATAGTATCTGATCAGGTTCTGGTCTAACAGGTACCATTACCTGTTTCTGAACTAATTTCACAATCTCCTGATCAATGAGCAACTGCTCATTTTTTAGCCTGATAGAGTTCAAAAGTTTGTGCTGAGTTGGTATCTCATCACATTGGATTCTCATACCAGCAATGTCGGAAAGTATTTCCTTGTCATTGGTAAGGTCTACCCACTTTTTAAAATGGTTAGCCACTTGTCCAGCTGTGAAGTCAAGGCATCTTTGCTGGAGATATTCTACTAAACATGGCACAAAATTTAAAAGTTTACTTACCGAATTTTTATTATCCTGCAATTTCTGCATTATTTCCTCCCTGCCGGTGGCACATTTTTCCTCTTGGCAGGCCGAGTCTGGCCTTTCCAGAAAA